CCGACTGGATCATCTCTATAGGCAGCCGCACCCAACTCTGCCAAAATCTGTCCAATTTGATCTTGCTGCACCTCACCTCCAAAGACCCTCTTATTGTGTCTGATACAGTCCTCGTACCATTGCTCCGCTGAATACACAATGTGATTTGCGAGAACTATCCTATTTGCCCCCACGAATGGGTTGACCTCATTGTAAAACATTCCTTCTAAGATGTTGATTATTGTGTCAAAGTCAAAGGAGACACTGATAAACAGATCTGGGACCCAGTTTGTAGGACCTGGATGGGCGTGTTCAGCTGCGTAAGTTTCGATGAGAGGGATGAGGATGCTAGGGGAGAAGACGATTTCATATCCAGAAAGCTTTTGCGACATTTCACGGATGATGTTTACGATAGCTTCATAAGGACGTTCAGTTTGTGCTTGCGGGTCTTCTTCTACACGGGCCTGTATTGACTGTAGAAGTTGTTCCCACATAGTCCGGATATCAGCCTGGTTGTGGTGATTGGCAGCTGCAAATATTTGGAGACAGATATCATAGTATTGGCCTTGGTCGGCATATTCATTGAAAAGCTGGAAGATGTTAGCAATGTGCAAGCAAGTGAGGATGGGGTGGTAACTTACGACAGAGAGTGGTTGAATGGCGCCGTCAAGATCTTGAACCACGGAATCTTTACGTGCTTGAGGAATTCTAGGATCGGCTCTCAAGCGTTGCAACAATTCATGTTGAATACTAGCAACGTCCAGCAATTCACCAGCCTCATGCAGCATAATTTGTCGCGCCTGTCTGTGGATGGCACCGCCTTGTGTTTGAGCATTGGCCTTGGCTCTACTTAAGTATTCGATTCTCCTTTGCAAGGAAATGGGAAGTTCACTCTTAGCCAAAGTGAGCTGTACACCAGCAGCGGAAGAGTAATCTTCTCGGTGAACGTAGTATTTCCAAAGGAGGTCGGAATTCTCCGTGCTTTCGCTGGCAGTTCGCTCGAGATATTTAACGATGAACGGCGAGTCTGTGGCAATAATTCTCTCCATCCAGCCTTGTTCAAGGTACCAATCAAATAGGTCGTATTGAAAGACCTCATCGTCAGACTCGTCAACAACTTGATGTGCTTCTTCGCGCATTCTAGCTTGGGTGCTTTGTCTGCCATCAACCATTTCCGGTGCGTTCCCAGTGTCGTTGTCAACAGCAGTTAAAATCTCCTTCACGATGTTATAACAGTCCTTGCGGAACTCGAAGAAACTTGCTCGATGGTCGTCGGCAGGTCTGCCATCATTAAGCCACGACAGAGCTTTGTTGCCACGATCGGATTCGTGAGCAACAAGTAGTGCCAGGCTGATTGCACCAGCATAGAATTGATTGGCGGCAAATTGAGCGCAAGCGCTGTACAAATTGTCATGAGATAAAACACCGGCGACCTCCTGAAATAGTCGAACACTCTCATTCAGAAGTGCCCTTCCGTGATCAGATGAAGGTCCGACGCTAGTCGCTCGTTGCAACTGTTCTTGGGCCCTGAAAATAATGACATCGTCAGGACTACAGAAAGTACCGCAGCGTCTTCTCAAAGCCTCGGCGACTGTATCAACATTTGAGCCTTGGGCAATGTTACGATTCACAATCTCCTTTACCAGCAACTTCGCCAAATTTTTGCCATTATCAGTAGAGAATAAGAGTTCAAATGTTAGTTCTCGGAGTTGTTGTTTCGTTGTATCATCTAGCGCAGCCCAAATGTCATCGACTCGTTCCTCGAAAAACATTTGAACAAAAGATATTCCTTCCACAATGCTCGTATTAAGGATTTGCAGTGAATGCAATGCTTGGTGTTCGCCCTGCAGAGCAAGATCCTCCTGTTGACTTGTGACACGATTAAGACCCTCGGGCCCAGACAGCCCCTCAATGAACGTTTTGTTGTCCTCCAAGAACTTTGACAGTTTCATAAGTTCATCTTGAACAGCGCCTAACTTCTTCTTATCAATTGTTGGTTTTATAGCAACCACCTCCTTGGTAATTTCCATTTTTATGACCGGAGATTTCCAAAGACCACGAACCAATCTAGCCATATAGAGAGCAAGCCCGTCGTGTCTCGAAGAAGGCCGCACGTTCTCAATAGCTTGGGTTGGTCCCTCGACAACCATATTTTGGTCCATAGACGCACGTCCACCATGCTCAACGAATGCTCTCCTAGCAGCTTCAATTGTGTCTGGATCTGCTATCCTCCTCTCGCCAACTACCGAAGCATCGCCGCCCTGTCCACACGCTACGGCTAAAGCAGTCGCGGTCGTTTCCCCTCTACCATATTGTCGAATGAATTTCTTAATCTCCGTTTCTCCATCATCAAATCCACTTCGAATTGCAGAGGCAAATATGTCTACAAGTCGTCGGCGTCGAACGATATGAATCCCAGAATTTGTCATAATTGCTATTTCCGGGGTGGGAAGATCGTACTGAGTTGCGAGTTCATTTCCGAAGCCCAGGGGTTGATCTGAAGCAGCGAAAGGTTTTGTCACAAGACCAATAGCCTCAGCACGACTGCCCATCTCCAGCCAAAATGCCGATTCACAATATCGCAAGCCTTGTTGGGCGGCCATGTCTCGTGCCTGCGCTGCTATCCGACCTGTATCTGGAGCCGACAGGAAAAGGGCATCACTCCCATCACGGGTCTCCTTGGAAACGAAACAGAAGAAGAAACCTGGAGGGTATCGAAGACCTTTACGGGTATGTGCTAGTGCATCAGAGCTCGTCTCGATCGCTGGCTCGAGTCCAGGATAAGGTCTTGTTCCCGGCCGATCAATCCGGGGTGGAAATCTAATGTGTTGAACCTGCATACTTTGTGGAGCTCCCTGGCCAGTTTGGAAACCGTAAGCATAACCCCGAGTAGCACTTAGAAACAAGCGACATCCAGATGTAGTAGTAGCCATAAGATGAAGCTTGAGTCCTTCTTTTGCAGATATAGGACTAATCGAAACGATTCGCATATGAGACGATAAGAGGGGCGAGGCCGAAATCATGTGAGAGATATCTCTCAGTATATCTTGTCGCTTTTTATCAATGACTTGTGTCAAAGTGGTAGCGCTATCCATGTGGAATGTTCGAATGGTGGATTCGGAGGAAAGAGTATATAGTAAGCGACGGGTGTCATCCACAACCATATCCACCACAACCTCAGTCGTCGCGCGACCCCAAGGTATGGGTACCAAAGATGTGTATCCAGGACTCGTGTGATTGAGCTTTCCAGTTTTATTTGAAAACCATTTGTCTTCATTTTGATATGTAAGCTCGTACACCTGGTTAGCTCCTCCCGCGAAAAATATGCGCCCCGTGTCTGTTGATCCTTCAATTACTGTGACATCAAGTCCTCTGATGGAAAGCGTCATGCCGGTTCTGTAAAGCTCTAAATTTCTATTCCCATGCTCATCAACTCCATCTGCGACACCCAACAAAATGATATCTTGAGTGGTTGCGACAACGACAATGTGCGTGATGGCTTCAATGAAAACTCCTTTGCGCGGTATCACCAGTTTCACAGCTCTGATACCATTTGGTTGGTCCTCAAATCCTCGCAGCGTTGGATTTGGACTGGTATAGTCCCATAAGTATAATGCGTTGTCGATAGCTGCCCATGCGTGATTTAACTCCGCAAAAAGCCCCATCGATGTCCCGAAAGAAGCATTATTGTATTGGTCGTAAATCGTATCCGGAATATCGTACATCCTCATCTTTTGGAAAGGGACCCAGGCGGGATCGGAGACAGGAGATGGAAGTTCATAGTCGGACGAGATGCCCTCTGCGAGACTGTTAGCTGTGTATCCTGTACAAACTTTAATGTGAACTCACGCTTGACATAGCTATCAAGATCAGGAAAGCTTGATTCCCTTTGCAGAACTTCGTTGATAGTTTTCGCAGCTCGTGAAATAGGTAATAAGGGTTGCGGTAGAATTTGAGGTTGAATTGGAGGAGGTATTGGGCCGTCTCGAGGTGGAGTTGGCTCACGTCCAGCATGCGGTTGCGGTGGTCGAAAAAGAGGAGGTTGTGGTGGAGGAGGTTGATTGAATCTCGGAGGAGCAGGTGTCATGAAATATGTACCTGGTAAAGGTCTCTGTGGTGTTCCTGGAAGAGCCATTCTTCCTTTTCTCCCTCTTTGGCTGGTTATCAACCAATCTTTAAATAAATACTGTCGCGAGAAGGAATCTTGCAGATGATGGAATTAGAGATTAGAAAAACTTCATGAAGAAAAAAGCGATTGAGTCGTGATGATATGATAATCTTCAAAGTTATGCGATGGAGGCAAATGATTGTAAAAATTCAAAGATGAATCGAGGGCAAGGTTTATATTTGTATACCTGCAGCTGTATATTTTTTCTGTTTTAGAGCTACAACACTCTCTCTAGATGAGCCTCGCGACGCGGTCGAAGCTTCCAGGATAAATATTTATTTGAGGCACGTGACGGGTTGTAAAAAAACAATACGGAGAGTAGAGATTGAGCAGAATGGGGTTTACAACAAATCTAGGTAGGAAATTGAAAGATGATCAATAAATAAGAAATACTCTGCTAGCTAGATGTGTAGGCACGTAGGATGGAATAGCTGTACGCCGTATCTGTGATAGTTTTATTTCAACGTAACAAGGACTTTCTTTTTTACAATTCACTTTTTGAGGAAGTCATTACCATTGCAATTGCTATAGGTAACAGTGAATGAGCGTCATCTCCAACATACCCCTTTTTAATGCTCAACGTGTTGGAAATCGATCCCGGAATACACAGCGCTGAGTATAGTGTCATGTTGATATTGATTGGATACTAGGTACTCTTTCCATCCATCTCGAAAACCCCAGAGAAGATTTAATCTATAGTTCCTTCTCATGAGTTACTCACTGTCATCATGGAGCCAATTCACCCAATTCCTAGCATAAGACATCTAGTAATTTGTGCAATTCGCTCATCCACCACTCGCCTTCCACTCTTCGTTTCGCTCCTCAGCCTGACCAAGCTGTTTTGATTATTGAATCATGCCTTCTTAGCATCCCTTTCGGCTTTCTTCAAAGCTCTGGTTCTGATACTCTGGTGCATGCCTTTATTTTGATCTACTACAAACGACCCCCCAACTCCTAAGGTATTTTCTAACCACCATTGCATTAACGCATGACCCCAAAATGGTGTACTTGTATAAGCCATTTTCTGAGCTCCTCCACTTCTACCAATCTTGGCCAGAGTAGTCTTGACAAATGTTCTTGGGTTTGGAATAAACATGCTGGTACGTCGAATCTTGCTCATTGCGGTAGTAACAAGGTAGCTTAATACTAACTCGACGTCGACGCCTGTGCCCTTAAGTTCGCCTCCAAGAGATGTTGACCATTGTTGTAAGAATGCCTTGCTTCCAGAGTATGTAGCTAGTAATGGAGTCGGTAACCATCCACCAAATGAACCCATAGTTAAGATCAACCCGCGTTTGCGTTGAACCATTCCAGGTGCTACAATTTGAGTAACTCGAAGTGTACCTGTGCAGTTGATGGTAATGATATCTCTTATTTCCTCCTTTGGTGTCTGAATAAATGGCACTGGAATGCTGTGACTTTGTCCAACATTGTTGACCAAGATTCCTACATCAAGTCCATCAACAAGAGCCTTCAACTTTGCATAATCCTCATCCCTATTGGCAGCGAAATCCATGGCGAGAATCTTTGTCTGGATATTTGAACCGGCATATTTGGTTTGGATTTCGGAGGCAAGAGTTTGAAGTTTCGATTCGGTGCGGGAGACAAGGACAATATTGAATCCTTTCTGGGCAAGTTGAATTGCATATTCTTTGCCGAGGCCATCAGAAGCACCAGTCACTACTGCCCAAGTTCCTTTCTTTCCGTAGGTTCGAAGCTATTTAAAGCATGTTAGTCAACTCTACCAAACTGCAACTGTTTGGTACTTCAAGTATCAGGGATCCTTACATTCTTTCCTGATAGGACGAAAAGACTTAATAAAAGCTGGATGTAGCTAATGACTTTGCCAGCGACAATGAAAGCTCCAATACCAGCAAGTCCAGTAAGGACAGCCTTTGGCAGAATAGTATCGAGAACCATGTTGTCAATTGTCAATGAATTGAAGGAAGAGGAAAACAATTCAGAGAAATGTTGAGGCCACCAGGACTTAGAAATAGGTAGGTGACTGGCGACTTTGGACTAATTTTTGGTGAGGGAATCCGCTAAATTTCAGCCCAGCATTCGTTCATGATAAGACCGAGTAGCCTCGTAGCATCTCACTATTGGAGATACTCGAGGCACTAACAATGTCTAACATGATTTGCCAATAGTGCGGGACTACGCGAGCTTAGTTCTCAACCCCTGTACAAGGCTGATCTTTGAACTTTAATTTTTGTTTACTTCGTTGTGCTGACTGGAATCTTCCCATATTTTGATTTACATTGGTGCGATCCTATTATCACGGCACAAACACCTTTCAATCTGATCCACGAGCGGATATTCAAATACAGTTTCTCAACATGAGTTCCCTCACTAGCCTCACCGCATACTTGCCTCAACATGAGGGTGTACTTCCCCAATGGCTTCTTTTCGTGAGTACCACCGTCCTTTCCTCACATATGGTCTCAGCACTAACCTAACCCTAGATCTCCGTAACTTCTCTTTTCAACACTGTCCAATGCTATTTTACTCTTCACTTTAACTCCCAAATCTACAACGCCATCCCCAAATCCAATATCCCACTTGGCAAAGGTACCTCCCAATCCTACCCTTTAACCACATCTGCCACTCCTCTCTCTTCACGCACATTCGGAACATGGACTCTCATCACTGCGATCGTTCGTCTTCAAACCGCATATTATATTAGCAACCCACAAATATATCAATTGGGATATGCGACGTTTATTGTTGCGTGGTTACATTTCATGGGAGAGTGGTTGGTGTTTGGCACTACTAAGATGGGCAGAGGATTGGCAGGACCAGCCGCAGTGTCAACGGGGACTTTGATTTGGATGTGGGTGCAATGGGGATTTTATGTCAAATAAGGGAATGGGATGAGAAGAAGAGACTATATATAATGAGTCGATTTGGATGCAGTAGTTGAGTCTGCATTCAATGCATTCTGGCGGTTTTGAGTATGGTAACAACTATTGAGATCCTTCAAAAGGGGTCAAGTTCTTTCCGAGACTATTAGCTAAGACTCATTACATACGACAGTTGATTTGTACAACAGGACAAGATCCGAATTTTCTCCAAGTCGTGCAAATTCATTTCACGCGAAGTCATATGCCCAAGGTGTATGTTGGTGTGGAATAGGCATTTCACTTCTCATTTTATGTTAATGATATCAGATTTAGATTGCTTTCGGCTGTTAAAAGGCTCTGAATGTTCAGATATGTCTGTTTTCATTCTAGGTCGACTTATTGAGGGATCTGAGTAGAGACCAGCTTAATTATTAGTTATTGTTTTGTTATTTATTTTTTCTTTTTATTGAAAGATTTTTTTATGAGATTTCAGGTTAAAAAATGCCATGTGATGTGTGTATGAAATGCTCGCTGCAAAATTGTTACCTTATTCCTCAGAATTTTGCTCGAGATCGTCTGAATCGTCCTCACAATCGTCTTCAGAATCTTCGTCGGAGACGTCTTGATCGTCTCCAGAGTCTTCTTCGGAGTCGTCGTCAAACTCATCATCTGCATTGTATGTATCGTCGTAAAATTCATCCGAAACCTCGGAGTCGTAGTCAAACTCATTCTCAACCATACAAAGACCTACCATGTTGTAATGAATTTGTATAGTAAAGTTTGAATCGTCCAAGGTGGCAAAAGAGAAGCAGTAAACTTCAGACATGTTGAATAAAGCGCGTCTATCCCTTCTGTGGAGTGGTTGAAAAAGTTGGCTGAATAGCGAAGATTTTCTGAAATACTAGAGATTGGAATCTTGAATACTTGAGAGTGCTTATGTGACGGGGCGATGGTGAGTGAGTTGCTGAGGAAAGATATAAATGCAAGTAACCAAGAGGCATTTTATAGTCATATTGTCGACGTTGTTCATGCGAATCATAACTTTGTCCTTACGGGGCCAGAGCAATGTTATTGCCATTTCTCAACGCAAAATGACATTTTTCAGCTCTTGTTCCTCGAATTTAAGAATCAAGAGTATAATCCTGAGAAGTTTGCAGGAGTAAAGCGTGTTGTTCCCTGATTGTTTGTTAATCATGGACTCCATACAGTGCCTTGCTACCCTGCAATGCTTGTAAGCAATTTGTAAGGAAATTTGTAAAGAGCTTTCACAGTTGATGCTGGAAACCCATCAGAGCGTATACTCAACAAGATTATCATACGACTTTATTGTATGTAGATATAGGTGTAGCAAATGGTGCTAACGGAGAAAAACGATGGGAGACGAAGACGAAAGTAAGAATGGAAAAGAGCACGTCTTAGTCACAACAATATGTGGTATAGGATTATTGTGCCATTGATTCGCAGTTGAATTTGCTGGATAAATTTTAACACAGCCGACGAGCTTGTGATAAAGAAGACTATATAAAGTTCATAAGCGACAGGTAGCAAGAATATTCTATAATTTCATTGTAGTGTAGTCCATTGAGGTGAATAGGGGAGTGCTTGATAAACAAGACACGTTTCTTGAGATCGCTTGAAAGTTCGAAGCTTGAGGCATGAACTATGGTACTTTCGGCCGGAATGTCTTTGGGTAGAGGCAGGTTCGAGATCAACAGTGTTCCTCTTACCCGATCCGACCCCTTAAAATTGCAGTTTGGCGATGTCAACTATCAGTGGAGTGAACTCCCCATATTGCATAGAAATCTGTATTCGATGGAATATGTGGTAATCGGAGAGCAGCTAGAACTTTTCAGGCGGGTGTCCTCGTTTCATTAAACCCCAAATTTATTCTGAGATTCTATCAACCAAATGATGCACGACTGTATTAAGCAGATCTTGTTATAAGATCAAGTCCTCTCATTTTACCGATTAGATTCACGTGATTTGTGGATATATCTCGGCATGCAACAAACGCGGTTTTAGATTGAAACACAGGGATCTCTTATCGATCGAATTGAAAGATACCTACCACTTCCGTCATTATTCAAGAGGGAATCGACATGAATTAACGAATGATGACATGACATGGCGTGCCATGACACGGCATGATGTTCAACGCTTTCTCTAATGACAATTGCCGTCCATCATACATCTCCTCGATATCTTCTCCCTTCATTAGAAGAAGTTACATTGCATAGGTACACTTTTATATTTCCAACACTGTGCCACTGTTCACAATTGTCGCTATTACCTAGCATCTCGAGTTTGATATCTCACCCTACTCGTAGTGTTATATAATAGGACAAAGAAAATAACTACCCACTATCTTCGAGTTCGTTGCATCTGCATCTCACCGAACAATGCATAGGGTTGTTTGATCAGAAAGTCTAGATCGTTTACGGCTACCACGCTCGAAGGTGGTTCATCGGATTTACTCCTGATTCAATATCATTCGACGTACCCACGATCCTTGTATTTGTCTGATGCTTTCCTGCCCTCAAACTTTACAGAGACTTATCACTGGAGAACTATTCGAAATCTCTGATTAACATAAGGGTTGAGCTTGTTATATATAAATTTGCTTGGCTTTGGCCAAAACCATACATTCTTCAATACACTATTTGAGATTCGAAAGTCGACAAAATGGTGAATAGTTTCACCGGAATTGCTTCAATACCTAATGAGGTCAGTGTTTCGTTTTGACTAGCCCTATGAACTAGCTGGCTAACAATATCAAAGCTCCTCATCAATGTCCTTTCACTCTTTTCTACCCGTCGACTTCTTCCTCTCGCATGCACCTGCCATCGTTTCCATGATCTCATAATCCGAATCATACATCATCGCCTCATTGCGGCGGCATCTTTAAAGAATCACAAATTGATCCTTGAATGTTTCCATCCCTCCACGAAACTTATCACCCCATACGCTTTGTGCAATTATCTCGGCACAGATGGACTAAGTGACGACGTTGTTGGAGAGGGAGATGTATATAAAGATGTCAACAATACAGGGAGATTAGGTAAAATGGCCGGTCTATATTCGCGCTTCAGGCCACTTCAGTCTGAAGAAAGAATACGCCATCTGGCAGGTAGTGCTAGATCGACCCTCCTACCAGAATCTGAAGATGGACTCGTATCTCAAATTGTCGATCTCGAGTCACATGAACTTTTCTCGCAACTTTGCACCATCACCAATATCGTTAAAGTTGGTCCGAAACGAGGACTGTTTCTGAGTTGCGTTAACATTGGTGAGGGAGTCATAAGAGTTTTTAGAGACTGGCTGTCAGATCGCGATGAGGCGAATAAGAGGCATATTGACAGCCCAGAGGAACGTGAGAACGGGCTCTTATGGACCGATACCGAGAAACATGTTGGATTGAAATTTAAAGTTTCTAAGTGGGAAGAAGCACCTGCTCCAATCCTGCTACACCGTAATGAGGAAGCTCCTGTTTTCTATAAGCTTCAATATGAAGGTAAGCCGTGTTTGCAAGAGATTGAAGGGAAAGTACTGATGCTTTCTTTCAGAATTGGTCCTCAGAACAACGCAGCTTCTTCTTCATGTCGAAGAATCCTTGACAAGAGAAGTAGGGCACTCAAGTAAAGCAATCGTGATAGGTTCTTGGGATTATTGATACGTTGTTCACCTCGGATCACTTCAAAGAGTACCGGATAACAACAAACAGCGTGAACTACAGGTGCTTCATCATTTGAGATCTTGATCTAAAATACTTACTACATTTTACCTAGTTTTATGATTCACATATACTTTTGAGGGCGTCTATCAGATCTCAGTTTTTTAGAGTATGAATATATTGATGAATGCGAATTATCCAAAGATTGATCAGTGGGATAGCCTAAAGGGACTTTCTCCGAAGGGATGAGTTTAGATGAGTTCAGTAAACTCTTCGTAGGAACCCTTTTAAATTGGATGGACATAGCCTTTTCATCGTTTTGTTTTTTGTCATTATTATTATTATTATTATTATTATTAGTTGTTGTTAGTCGTCTTTAGAGTTATAAAAAGATTCACGGCGGTGACCAGGCCAGGGTACAAAAAGTTTTGGCCTCAGCCCCTTCCAAATTCAACATCACACCTCTAAATTTGAGGGATATCCATTACCATCAGATGAATGCAACCTTACCAAGCCACATTTGCGTTCTTAGGGTGACATTGGTGGTTAATCAACTGCAAGCTGCGCCCACAGAGACTGAAGCTATTCAAAGTAGAGCAAGCAAAGTAGAGCACGTAGATACTCCGTAAAGCTTATTAGATTAGATAAGTACTTGGAGGGAGAAGGTCCGTGCACTTACTTCTTCTAATCCCCCCACGTGCTCACCCCCCGGTGTGAATTAAATAAAAATCTCGCAATTGCAGGCTGTGCTCTGAGAGTCGAGATCCATCCATTCACTCCTATTTATAGTACTTCGTACCTCAATGCCAACCAACACAGCGTTCCTCTCGCTTCTCATCAATCACGTTGAATCTCATCTCATCTATGTTGGTAATCTTAATTAATCTTACCTCATACTCAAAGATCGCGAGTGAACTTAAAAAATGACACCCTCTGAGACATACAAGATGATGTCTTTGTTGTCTTTACCTGCTGTATATTCAACTTCCCGAAATCACTTGACAATAATACTATTTATTAGACTTCCACCCCATTCCCCGCATTCTCGGCAATACATGTAGCGATTGGCTGCAATGTAAGTTCTTGTACCCCATCTTTATTATATCTGGACGGTCTCGGGCATCACAATATCTGCAATAGAAGAGCAGATGATCAATTAAAGTGCCTTTACGTGACGAACTCGAGGTGTAAGATACATTTATATCTTCTTAAGTTTTCTTCCGCACATCACAAAACCTTGTCAGATCTCTCGTTTTTCATTTTGAATCTCGGTAGCAGGGGTATTGGTGTGCTCACCTTCCTCCAGGATGCATAGCAAAAAAAGACAAGGTGGATCTTGTGTGCCCTTTTCAAAGCCCCTTCGTGGAAACCCTTCAGCGACAAACTGTTTTGTATCACGTCGATACCGTTCATCGGGCTAATAGTCATGCAGTGATTCAGAAGGTCTCCTCAACATGCATATAAACATCGAATCCTTTTACCAAAAATACCTCCCTCTTCCGTCCAGTCCCAGATTTCATTCCAATTTAAGCAAAGAAACTGTTTGTAAAGTTGGAAAATGTTTAATACATTAATATTCCTGACGCTTGCTGCCTGCTCATCTGCAGCTCCAGCACCGACACCATCGATCAACACAACTGTTGATCTAGGATACTCAAAATATTTGGGAACCAACAACGGTAATGGCGTCACTCAGTGGCTTGGACTGCGATATGCGGCTGCTCCATTAGGAGATCTGCGTTTTCGAGCCCCTCAAAGTCCCGCTGTAAATGATACCTTACAAATAGCGAACAGGGTGTGCACTCTGCCCACTTCATTGATTCGTTATTACTGACTTGAGATTTACAGCATGGTGGAGTCTGTCACTCCTCGCCTTCGACCTCGCTTTCGTCCAAAACAACTGAGGATTGTCTTTTTGTGGACATCTATGCACCCACTGATGCAAGCAAACTCCACCCTGTCTTTGTTTACTTTCAAGGTGGTGGCTTCAATACCCTTGCTAGCCCAGACTTGAATGCGACTAGCCTAATTGCAGCTGGTCATCACGACATCGTAGTAGTCACGTTTAATTATCGTGTTGGTCCTTGGGGTTTCTTGACCAGTAAGGAAGTTGTAGCGAATGGTGATACAAACGTTGGACTAAAGGATCAACGATTTCTACTTGAATGGGTTCAGAAGAACATTGAGCAAGTGAGTTTTTTCCAATGTCTGGGCTTAATACGTCTACTATAGCATTTGATATTGATATACAACAGTTTGGAGGTAATAAATCACATGTAACAATTGGAGGAGCAAGTGCGGGTGCGGCTGCTGTAGACCTCCAGCTTTCTGCATATGGAGGTCGCGATGATGGACTCTTCCATGCTAGTGCGGCCGAAAGTCAGTCTTTTGGTGCTCAACTCACGGTAGACGAGTCACAATATCAATACGATGGTTTAGTCCAACGTACTGGTTGTGCTGGGCAAAGTGACACACTAGCTTGTTTGAGGGGGTTGGATATCGGCATCCTTGCCAAAAACAATATCAACGTTCCAACACCAGGTGGTGCAGGGGATGATCCGGTGTTTATGTGGTCTAACGTCATTGACGGTGATTTCACTCCTGATTATACCTACAAGTTATTTGCTACAGGGCAATATGTTCAACTTCCTGCGATATTTGGGTATGCCATCTTTACTGTTGCTCAGCTATTCCACAAAGACTAACAAGATATTCTCTTCATTCTAGTGACGACACAAACGAAGGCACAATATTTACTCCTCAGTCCATTAATTCCAGCGTCGAAATGTCCAAGTTCTTGAAAAATAATTTCGTCAAACTTACTGATGATCAATTAAGTAACATCCATGAGTACTACCCTCAGGGACCTCAATATCCAAACGCTGGCACATACTGGAGTGCAGCAGCTCTTGCTTATGGCGAGATGCGCTATAATTGTCCTGGAATTTATCTATCCGGCTCTCATGACTTCTACGCCCCATCAATTGGAAATTGGAATTACCATTGGGATGTTCTATCATCCACAAATGCTGCCAGTGGGTATGGTGTTACGCATACTTCCGAATCAGGTTCTATTTGGGGTAGCAGCGGACCACCAGATTCTGCTCTCATACCATCCATTCAAGCATACTGGACCAGCTTTATTAGGAGCAAAGATCCTAATACGTATAAGCTCAAAAGTACACCCAGATGGGGACAATTAAAGACTAGTAATTATCAGAGGATACTTTTTCAAGCCGAGAACGTTACAGGAACAGCCACTGCAAACGTTACAATGGAAACGATACCAGATGTACAGATGGCGAGGTGTCAGTACCTGTCTAGTATTGGTGCGAGCATCGGGCAATAAGCTTATCATGGGGATTACTTGATTGAATCAGTTTCATTGAATTTCTCTTGTTTATTTCTACTACATACTTTTACGGTCATGGATATTCGGAATTAGGTGTTAGGAAATCACCGTTGGCATGGTTTTGCATACGATGGCGTTTTGGATTTCATGGACATCTAGAATTTCTCTTTTGATACCTACCAAGACATAGCTTATTACCTTTCTGAGTTATGTCCATTTATATCATACATTTATGTCTACTATCGACTTGGGCTGTGATATAACAATCAAATTTCATGCCAGATCTCAACCAAACAAAGGATCATTGGACAACCCAAGAATAATTTCGATCCAGAACTCGTGAATCTCCCCTTTGTCTATCTTCATTCCAGGAATCTATTTCCGCGCATCGTTATTGTCGAAAATATCTTTGTTGTAAGTAACCAGATACCAGCAACCGTTACCATCGAATGTTCCATTCATTCTAGTACTTAATCGAGGCAAGTAGCCTGCCTTAAAATTACATACCCTTTCACACGTGTTATGAGGGGTACTGAATTCAGCTTTACCAATCATTCTCTTTGTTATTTATTTTGTTGTTCTACCTTCACTCGTAGCTCTCCACCTTAACTTCATTTTATCAGTCGATGGCAACTTTCAAATCTCTATCTACATTCTACATCTATGTCCACGATTTCCGCCACAAAACGATCTATAAGCATTATTTTTAATCCGCGTAGTGTGCAATCAATCTTCCGTTCGAACCCATGCATTCAACAAAATCACACACACAATCCAAAAGCTTGACTCGCACAAACCATCCGTTCGAAGCTTCAAGTCTCATCACAAACACAGACATACAATGACATCTCACACAAACGCAAATCCCAGCGCCAGTTCACCTAAACGCAAAATAGCTCAAAGCTCTTCTGATCGCCTCTCTAAGATACCTAAGCTCAAAGTACCAGGCAATACTCCCACTGATCCCTCTCAACCAAACCATTCCCGCTCCAGAAATTTGCCACAATCCATTTCCACCGATGGCAAACATCATCATCATCGTCGTCATCACGAACATCATCCGCATCATGGATTCATTCGTCCGCCTCACGATTCCACTTTATTTTCCCCCACAAATACGAGCTCTTCTTTCCCAAACTTAAGTTTAGGTGAAGGTGTAATTCCGCCTTTCACATCGCCCACTGTCCCTCTCTCACAGAGCCAACCATTCTCCGATCAGGACACACCGACCGGGATTGAAGACGCCGCGGGACTGGGTGCCCCACCAAATCTGGCGAGCGATTTGGAAGAGGCATTGATGGAAGAAGTTGAGAAAAATCCAGGGCTGGCACAAGGGCTTAGAATCGAAGATCTCGCTTCTCAGGGTAATGGAGGAAGTAATTTGACACCAGAAGAAGTGGGCTTTGAGATTGACGTGGATATAAATAATGATAAAGACGAGATCACATGGGAGAGTGATGAGGAGGAAGATGGAGGACAACCTTCGACCGGAGAAAAGGACAAGGAATACGTAGAATCGTCTGTTTCCTCCGCATCCGATTCTCACCATTCATCGGATTCAGGATATGATGAAACGGCGGGGCCTCCAGTTTCGGATACAAATATGGATACAGGACCAGAATATGATGAGGGGTATGTGGAGGGCGGAGGAGACATTCATGGCGTTGAGGCCTCTGCCGAAATCGACTGGAATGATATGTCGAATGATATTGATGCTGATCCCTACGCTGGGGGTGCGTCAAAAATACCAGACGAAAACGATGTACAAATGAATTCTGGTGGTGTATACGGTGAGCGGGATAGTGGAAACGCAGAGTGGGCTGGCCTGGTAGCTTTAGAGCCTGAGGGAGATGAGGCTTTGGACCAATATGAAGGAACTGGAAATGGGGCGCAAAAAATCGGCGAGGACGATGTCTGGTGGTTAAACGAAGGTTGAATAGTGTAGAATGGGTACACAATGGTCGACTTAGTTGGTGTAATACGAGAAGAAAGACGTTTCTCTGCTTTTCGATTGGATAAGGAATCCATCAATTGGAGCTGGTAATGGGGTATATGAGAGTGTCTTGATGGAAATTAAGCCCCAGTTGTGATTTTTCATTGGCAAGTATTGCCTGCAAATAATGTATATGGGTGGTGATTGGGTCTTGGGAGGACGTATCACCCAATAGGTCATATTTCTATCATTAATTGATCTCTTCCCTATATAAATCAGGCACTGGCACGACTACATGTCAAATAATCAAACTGGTCGAGTGTCTCCCCTCCTATCTACTTGTCTTACAATCCACGCATTTATCGCACAGAGATAAAGAAAGGATAATGGATCTATGAAGTACCAGTCTAGCTAAATGTGTAAAGACAAGCCACTCAAGATATTCTCGCATATCAAGAAAGTATAAAATCATAACGGCTAAAATATGCACACCCAACTCATCTTACCTGATCGCCTCATAATTTCACATGAGATAATTTCAATGAACCCTAAAGCATCTCCCCATTCCCCAAATGTTTTCCCAACTTTGGTTTGAAAAAATCATCTTTATTTCTCTCCCCCTCAAACCCACTTCCATCATACCACTCCAGCATTTCCCTCCAACCCTCCATCCACTCTTCCAGTAGCCACCCTTGCGCAGCCCACAATTTCTCATGAACCACCTTCAATTTCCCCTTATCCTCTTCATGGGGAAAGAAACCTCCCCATTTCCTCTCCAAGGGTGTCACGGGAAACGCGCCATCTTGTTTAAACTGCCATGCAAAGAATGCTTGATCTGCCATATTCGTATTATACATATTATACCTCTGATAATTTTGTAAAAACCTTCTATAAATTAATTGACTCGGTGTAAACACCATCGCTCCCACATTGATCTCGACCGGAATGCCGGGAAGTTGAGGTATTCCCGAGAAGATAAATTCTTCACCATTACAACTGGCTGATCCATCAGGGAAAAGATCACTTGTTTCTTGCTTGAGTGAATTGCAGGCTTTGGGATCAACCAACTCAAACATCTCATCAATATTCTCCAACGGAAAAGCATCCGCGTCCAAAAATAGTATCCGATCGAAATCCGTTTGTGCCCACATTTGTAACTTGGAAAAGGTATCTTTCCATCGCGAATAGATTGGCTTGCCTTCTCCATCGGTTAAATCCTTTCTACTAGGGTTCCAATCTAATGGACCCAATTCTCTGACGATAGCTCCTGCGCCCGCAAGTAACTGTCTTTGTTCTTGAGTGACATGGGAAGCAACAAAGGTGATGAATGGATAAGCATGAGTTTTGGAAGACGATCGCCAAAGAACGCGATAGATGAGAGATTGGACGGCCATGAAATAGGGGTCGCGAATGGAAGGATTATGCGTATTCATGAAAGTTGCATAGGCGAACCTTGAACCCACTGGCATCGCGGGGTCATAGTTGTGAGGCCATTTAACTGCGAGACTTTTGAGATCGACAGTGGGAAGAGGAAGGGAGAGGTCATTTTGGAAGGGATATTTTGTGTCGTCGAATGCGGAGCTGCTTTCTACAGTAGGAGTTGAGGAACCGGGAAGTGAAGGCGGGGCTTGTGGTGGGAAATTGAGATTGAGGGGGACCTCTGCTGGTAGTGGTACTTCAGCTAGCGGACTGATTGAGTTTGGACTCGAAATTACTCCATCGATCGGCTTATGAAAGAGTCCACTATCTCCCTGCTGTGCCGCCCAGTTCAATTTCGCGCGATCATACGTTTCTTTTATTGTCGAATGTGATCGCCAAAGTATTCCGGCAATGACAATGAATAAACAAGCAAAGCTTAAACGGCTGCGACGCATGATAGATAGAAATTCATGAATCGTTTATATTGTTGATAAATTTTGCGGAGTTCCAAGAGAAACTGAAAGGAACTCTACCAACACCTTTCATGTAGATATATTGGAGGAAGCAAAACAATATATTGAAGAATACTGCGATCGAATTGCGACAGAAATGCAATTAAATCCGTACCTTATCTATCTTATCCATCTGGGATATTTGCATCCCATTATATGCATGATGGTGTCACTAAACTAAGTACTGTAGCTGTAAGCTTGGAAGCTTGAAGATTAGAGCAACATCGGCCGAGGTACCAGGCGTGTTTAGGGCTTAGACTTACTTAACCGCCCCTGGAAACTTACGCCTATTGGTGGGCATTATGGTGGTCAAGCTTTGGACTCGATTGATTTCCTTTCATGTGCTCGCAACTTCATATCATGATCTACAGGCTCCATGCTATGCATATTAATTTATGGTATCAGTCTTGTCCAGGGATATGTACAGATGTAGTAGTCATGAAGCGTGGGGGAAAGTCAAATCTGTGTAAAAGCAGCGAAAGAATTCAGTGACACACTCACCATTTTCTTCTTCACATGAAAACCAAATTGTAAAAGCTGGGGTAAGTTTGCGGGTCGGACTGGGTGGATAAGAGGCTCAGGGGTTCCCCGCAAGTGCAGATGCAAAAGCAGCGTTGGCTTCTGTTTGGTGCTAGGATTGCATATCGACTTATATCTTCTGCCGATGGCCAAATATGTATGATGAATTCGCCGAATTTTCTCTCCCAGTCGAATAGTCTGACGCGTCGAGTGTGCAGCTTACGAAGTTGTAGGTGTATGGTTGGAGTTTTGTTGATGTTACGCGAAATGGTCTCAGGGGTAGAGCTAGCTATGATCAGGTAGATTCAGTTTCTGGGTCGGATAATCTTGCATTATATCAAAATTATCAGCCTCTTTCAATAGCTCCAGCATTGAACTTCCATACTATATCCTGATCTCGACACTTATAATGTCCCTTGGAACCTGGACTGGTACTAAAGACCGGTAACCAAGACGATGCCCAACTCGACTATTCTCCAGCCATGCCCTGAATTTTGCTTCCTTACCCCATTTAAACAATCTGGGGACTCCTCTAACTCTCTTCCATAGAAAGTACCAGATTTTCATATCCAGCGCCGAAACACTTCGTTACAAGATTGACTGTCGGAGTACTCCTTTCGTCATCATCAATTGTAATGCGAGGTCTTGCTCCTGAGATTTCAGCCACACTCGTTAGAAGTGATTCAGTCCACTCAACTCCCTCCTCTGCATCAAATTTACTTCTAGCAAACGGATTTTGCACGAAAATTTCGAATCAACGTACGTTCACCAATAGCGGAAGCCATAATTCGAGATTTGCTATTGAGTATTCTTTCAGTGGGATTCGCCGCTCGCATATCATGTGTATATCACGAATATGCTTCATATTACCGGCATTTAAAATACATGGAGCGCTGTGGTTGAACCATGAAGGACTGTAGAAGAGTAAAAGGAATTCATTGTGCCCATACAGAACGTCGAGAGCTTCATCACTGATCTGTTGGGACACGCGGAGGAGGCCAACGGTGAGCTTTTCAATGTGACATTCAGGCAGCAAAAAATGGGTTGAAAAACCCGTGTATACCTCACACTCCGAGGATATATGAATGCGAAGAGGACGGGAATTCCTCGTTGGGTGATACGGGAACTGAATTTCCATGGGTTTGCATTTGAGCAATTGCACGTAAATCATTTGGCGGATCTCAAGTGGTAAGCGTAAGAGACCGGGAAGTTCATTTTTTGACCGCGGTTCGTCATTTGAAGACTGTTCAAGCCTCGAAAGTGGCTCATCATTTGATGAAGGAGTTTCTGCATCAATTTTGGTTTCACGTACAACTGAAAGTTGCGGGGATTTTTTCTTCCAAAATCTGGATATTTTGAAAGACATTGAGAAGATGCAAGCCACATAAGTTCATGAGGGAGGATATGGTCAAGAGTAGATGTTGATATCTGTTCCTGGTAGAAAAAGAGGAGGCCGGGCTTATGCAAAATTCTCACGTGACTAATGATTTGGCCATGTCCCACTTTGACATGCCAAACCGATACTTCAAGTGTCTCCCATCTTCCTTAATTTCTTCCAACTAGTGAAACATTAAAGCCTATCTTGTAGCGAAGCAATTTCGCGATGGGCTAGAACAAACGACGCTGGGCCGACGATTGTGGACTTAATAAACATGTCCCCCGAACTCCCGAACCCCGAATTCTGTTTGTATCATGTAACCTGACCAGCTGGACTTCCAATGCGGACTCAAGTTATCAAGCTTAAATCATATCATATTGAATATCAATATACCACATTTCACATCATATCAACTCATAATTCGCAGCTGGGCCCCAATCAACAAAGCACATCACTTGAGTGTCTCGTGGCTTAGGAGCACTCGGTCGTGTTTTCTGACAGCTGCGAACAATGATAACTTTACTTGTTCAGATGAAGAAGCCTCGTAGTTTCTGCTTAGAAATATTAGGTCTGTCGATTTGAGGGTTGATGTCGAAGTCGAACATGATCATAGCGTAGTAATGTTTCGGGTTTCAAACCTGCGTCTGAGCGAAATGGCCACATATTATGAGGAGCTTTATCCCATCATCATCCGTTTGCTATTTGTTCTTTATGTTTTTAAACTTGAGATTCATGGCAAGAATAGGTTTCCGGCTAGCGCTGACCGGTGTAGTCGTCGGTACTATTTTCTATCAATTTATTTACAAATCATTGATCCTTGGCACCTTGGGATACAATCGCGCTTTAGAACCTTTCCTCAACTTTGATGTCGAATGTGAGAAGATTGATGATGTAGGTTTGGCTGGTTGTGCAGATATGTGGTTGCACCAGGAAAGTGGAATGCTTTATATGGCATGCTCAGATACAAGGGGTCGAGCTGAGTGGTTTCCGAGGTATGCTCCTAGCATGTATTTTTAATTCTTACAAACTAAGTCCTTTAGTTTGAACCATCTAAATGCATCAGGACGCAGTTTGTCTGATCGAATTGCCATCCTGGATACACGTGGAACTGGCCCTATCAAGAGTCGATTGACATGGCTCCAAACACAAAATTTTGAAGGGATAAATAACGATGGAAGACTTAATCTTCATGGATTTGATATCCGGGTAGATTCGAAAAATAACGAGCAGCTGCACATCGTTCTCGTCAATGATCGCCATCTAGAAGATACTGGAAAAGCAGGTCCTTTCAACCAAACCCAGGCGGATTCAAATAGTACGATCGAGTACTTTGTAACCACATTGGGAAGCAAAACCATGAACCACAAGCAAACCTTCACGAATATCGATATAGATACACCTAGGCACGTGGCTTGGGTCGATGAGCATTTATTCATGTTTACGAATGCTCATAGCTTGAAGGGTAGTTCGGTAGGTTATCTCTAATTTGGACACGAAACTCACGCTAATCTTTGGTCTTTAGCGAGGATATTCCAACCTCGTTCTTGGAGGTGGAAGCATTGGTTATTGTATGCCTCCTTCCACAGAATGCGGTGTGACGAAATCTCCTGGAAACCTCAAAGTGCCCAATGGGATAGCACTCGGCCATGACAATCTACTCTATGTTCCTTCGTCTATCTCTGGTCAAATTCAAGTATTTTCTTTGGAACCAGAACAGCGTCTCCGAAAAGTCGATACTATCAATCTCCCATATCCGATCAATGATATAAGTGTCGACAAGAATGGAGATATTTACGCTGCCACTGTACCTGCCTTGCACAAAACATTGAAAAACTCGCAGAATATAGAGGCCAATGTTCCAACCGCAGTGTTTAGGATCATTAAATTAGGCGAGATGGGCGAGGGAGAAGGATGGGGTTGGAATGTGGTTAAAATGATGGAAGATGACGGGAACACTTTACCAGCTACGACGGTTGCAGTTCACGATACCCAGACTGGTAAAATGTTCCTAGGTGGCGTGTTGGATCCTTTCATTTCGATATGTGAAAGAGTGAACGGAGAGAGCTTTAGTGCATATATGGAAATATTGAACTTCTAATAGACGGTTAATTGATCACTTCGTTTGAATTTACAGGTTCCCACATTGGGTAGGTTCATCAAGAAAATTGAATCAAATGATAGCTTACTTCTACACACTCCTGAAAATCTGAGTGCCAACAAAATCTATCGAAATCTCAGAATCTCAAAATCACTTCCTCTCTCACTCTGTACTCTTCGCCGTATTTTCAATGAAATCTTTTACAGCACTGAAGTATAATATACGCTATGAAGTTGGCTCGCATATGCGTGGGGTGGGTGTTAAGACTGACAGGGAGATTTCTCATAGGAAAGTCTACTACATTAAATTTGATGTGTGCGGCATAACCTCCTAAATTTCGCAAATGCAATTGGGAATAGGTAGGTCTACCTAAATGAATCATTCATATAGTCTGAATCTTTTAGGTAGTGAAATGGCTTGATGGTAACCAACTCTTATTCTTACTATTTGTTGTAAATATATAGAGAGCTTATCTATATGACTTGCTTGGTGAGCGTCGTGGAAGCAAAATTATGTTCTATGCTAGACTAGTCAATTTATTACTACGTTCGTCTAGATTACGAGCTTTTCACAGAAATAGAAGCATTGGTAGCGCACTGATTTTGAGTATTGAGTATCGGGTATTATTAATATGGACAGAGAGTCGTGTCCCATCTATTATAGGAAATTGTCTCTAGCTCCATCAAAGGCATTGTCTCTCCTTCTATACACTCTCCCAAATATCTCCAGTCTTTAGAAGCTATAATAAAATTTGATAGCCACCGACTTGTGGACTCATGCCCTTGATACTAAAGTCTCTACTTAAAACTTGAGCCTATCGTAAATTCGATTGGATATAAGATTAAAAACTCAGCCGCCTTTTCAGAGCTCATTCATCTTGGTCACCAATGTTTGGTAAAGATCAACATCACAACCAATGCATTCGAGATACTCGTAGTACATTGAAACACCCGTGTTGTCATCAAGATCATTCTATGCAAGTTTATTAGCTCGCCGCTTAATGGAGTGGAGATATACATACTCTTTCGAAAGCCACTAAGATCTCATCTTTTGACAGATTTTGAGCCTCTTCGTCTGTAATAGATCTCCTTAATACTTCGAGGCCCTCCTCCAAGTTACCACGTTCATTTGTATAGCTTGTCATCTCCTTTTTTGATGCGTCCCACAAGCCGGTTGGAACTTTAGGCCACATTTTCTTCAAAATTCCGACGGTCGGACCAGACTTCAAACCACAGGTAGGAAGGTTCCCAAGCCTACTTTCCCAGTAGTTTTTGACATGTTCAGGAACTTCCAGCATTTCGTTGTGTCCGAGAAAGTCAGATTTCATAACTTTATGTGTTCCGTAATATTGAAAACCCGAGTGATCGCTATCACGAATGAAAAGAGGAAATCGCTTGATAGTTGAGAAATGTAGCTCTGGTGTTATCTGGACACCGTGTGTGCCAGGAATACGAGGAACGAGGGGGTCAAATTCGCGATTTAGCAACGCGTATAAATGTACCTGCAAAGCTCGTCCTATTCCCTTCGACTCAAACCAGCAATTTGCGATGGAACTTCCACCGAGGCAATTCTTCAGAAAGTGGTAAGAGAACGCTGTGTTTGATTGAGGGGGAAGCTGTAAATCTATCGATGGAAACCTTCTGACGACGGCCGGCATTGCCATTCCCCATTGAGCGATGACAGATATCCGAGACTCTTTCGTATATATACTCTCCAAAAATTCAACTGTGGATTCAGTAGATTGCCGTGGCAATGATGAAGATTCCAATTCTTCGCCGGCACTCAAGGTACTACTCCTGTCGTCTTCTACCGTTTCCCGCAGAGGCGTGCTAACATTGCCAGTAAATCAATGTGCTATTCTGAATCCATTTACAATATGCGCAAGGCGTCGAGATAAAGAAAGCACCGAAAGATGTGCGTTTATGATCGAACGGACTTACGCATTATAGAGATCAACATTGGTATCTAATCCATGCTCTAGTTTCACGGGAATCGTCGTATTGTCGTCGTCATCAGTCAAGTCGATGACAGCTGGCGAGCCCGATTTGGTTTTTGAACCCGCAGTATTTCCATTTTCCAACTTTGCTACTTGCTCTCGTAATCTAGATAATTCAGCAAGAACGAAGTCCATACCCGGCAGAGCATTTTCGATAGGTTGAGCCGCTTGAGCAATACTTGTAGAACTTCTTCCAGGAGCTTTCGGTGGAAGAGTCTCATTTGGCGAATCAATAATGGCAGCATCTCTCTCACAAGACTTAGTAGTGAGCTTGCGCTTTTTGGTGCCGTTTGAGGTGATTTCGGGCATTTTGTGGCTTGCTCTGGAGAGTGTAAGTATCAAAGATGAGTTGAAGCACCAAAACAAGACATGAAATCAGAGTTAGTTGACCAAGTTAGTTTGTGAGCAAGGTGTGCGAGTATTCAAGAAACATTCGATGATGAAGATGTAGTCTTAGATATCCTACAAGTCACGCTGAGGTAACATAGAGTTCAATACCTCGTTAACAAAACAAAAAGATTCCCATCCTCGAGCCATCCGTCCCCATCGGCGGGGTTTAAAAGCTTCAGCACAGACCACCTCCACATCGCGTCCGCGTTCTTCAATCCTCCTCCCATCTCACTCACAACCTCAATTCAATATATCCTCAAAATGTATTCTTTCCTCATTCGCCTCTCTCCTCACTGATAAATGAAATGCCCATCTGTATCGAGTGTCGCTATCCGACTACCCAACTCTATACCGAGTACTCCGGAGGATCAACTGGTCATGGAGTACGATTAACCGTTTGTAAGAATTGTGGACGATTTTGCGATAAATATGTTGAGCATGATTTTGTGGTTTTGTTTATTGATTTGGTTTTGATTAAGCCGCAGGTTTGTTTCTCTTGCTTTAACCTTATGACATTCTTACACACACATATATATGTTTGAGGTAAGGGAAGGCTAATAGTTTTGGGAACGGAAAGGTTTATAGACATTTGTTGCATAATACTTTAATGAGAGAACATGATCAATTTGACGTATGATATCTCCTTTCTATGGTACAAATCTTATATTGACATCTATCATCTAAGCCTTCCATAATCCGTCTCGGTGTCCTTCTCCTCCTCTTCGATGTCTACCTAACATGGGCACGTATCGAAAAGCAAACTTCCGTGCCCATTTCCGCTCCAATCGAAACAGATAATACGAATTTCCTCCGTCTAGCCGCTCAACCCATTGTATTCCAATACGTGTTCTTTCTGATCCTCTGCGCGCTCTCAACCCTAAGCTTTCACCTCTCTATCCGCTTCCTCACATCCTCGCCACTTTCGCCTTTAGTATTCCTCGGTCTCCTGCCAAAATACACACGTCCGAATTCCGTATCTACAGCGCTACTAGTCTCGTCTTCTACAAAATTATTCCCTATTTTGATGGTAATATGGGAGTATGACGTACCGGCTGCTGCGAGAAGTTTAGGATGGGCTGTCGTTGCGAATAATGTGGAGGCTTTGAAAATATTACTGGATTGTGGATATGGGACTGCAGCGATATTAGCGACGGTTGGAGCAATTAGTAGGTGGATGGTTGGGAGGGGGATACTTTGGGCGGTGGGCTTGGACGGGGTTGACACCGTTGGGGATTCAGGGGTAGCGGCTGATGGAAAGGCGCTTTGGGCGGTAGTGGAACTGGGTAGAGAATGGGGTGGAAGGCTGGGCTTGGGGTGATTGAGGAGAGTGAAGAGTGGAGGGAGATTCATGAGACAATGAATATGAATGCTATATATCCCAAACATCATAGATGCTTGATATGTAAGGGGCTGACAGTAGACATTCAGGGGGGAATGGTGCACTATTGCACAGCACGATGGTATGCTCATAGATTTACATTTGCCAAGGTGAACTAAGCATCTGCAATTCCAACTTCACTACAAAGGTACAGAGTCCCGCAAGGTATGCCTATACTTCGAGGACCATATCAAGATCCGGCGTTCGAGCGCAGCGAAGAAACTGGGGGTCTTGGGGCTTGACCGCATCAAAAACAATCAAATAAGAGAAATAGGTATCGCTCCGCTGAAGTCCTGGAGGCCATTGCGGTGGAGGCGGACTAAGGAGAAGCTCAATTCAGTGCCTGATATATCAAAGTTTCCATTTCCACAATCAATTCCTATAAGTATACACGAGTCGCATTTCATTCCCCCATTAGAGTCGATCCCATCCCATGAACGCCAAATAATACATCTCATTCTTTTTCATTCTCTTTCGCCATCATGCACGTCCAACTGTAATGACCACTCAACTCATATGTTTTGCATAGTCTGGTCTTAAGTCTCCTCTTCTGGGTACGATGAGTGGATGCCATTGCGCCAAGAACGTAATCGCTGTTGTCAATGTCAGTATAGTTCTTAGGCTCATTCCTTCTATTTCCTTCTCCGTGTAATCTAAATTGATGCGATGGGATAACGTACCCCACATAAGATAACAACTTGCAAAAGAGAGGATGAGAGAACTGCGCCAGATTCTGTATACCAACAAATTAACCACCGATATTTCAGGAAAATTGTCCATATCCATCTATCCATTCATCCGCGAATAGTTCAATACACTCTATCGGGACGCGATAGATACATACGTTTGATTTTCGCCTTTAGGAGAAAGGAACCATGCTGCCGCAGAAGCAAGCACAACAATGATGAGGCCAATGACGATACTCCAACTATTCAATTCATCTTGTTAGCTATGGTTCTGATCCCGCGGTTTCAGAATATGATTGCACGAGTGTACAATGAGCCATACCCGTTTGCCATGTTGATTTTGTGATGATGAAGTTGTGAGGTCTGGATTCCGAGGGTTTGGAGTTGCTTAAGGCGGTTGTCTTATTCGAGGTTGGTGATTAAATGATGGAGCTTGGTTCAAGGTTTCCAGGTACTAATCGCGCTAATGATTTGGCTTGGCGCGTCAGCTCTTTCTTTTTCGTTAGACATAAATAATTTATGCGATAGATTCTACCTACTTAATTATCATTTCTGCACTGATTATTGTTGATCTAACGATATTAAGTCGATTGTTATATATAGACATATTTTTTATGTTTGGATTTCTATATTTATGCAATTGAATACAATATCAATTCAAATCTTGCGTTACTAATTCTCAAATTTCAAGCCAGCCTCTTGTCTAACAGCTCCATAAATAGCAGCAATATCACCAGCTTCTCCCTTATGGTTCTTAACACCCTCCAAGTGAGCATCTGCGACCTCGAGAGCCTTCATCTGTGTACCGGCGCTCTTAGCCAATGCCATAGCATGTCTTGCATCTTTTCTAGCTAAATCGACAGCAAATAACGGGTCCTCCCTCTTGTGATAATCGCCCGGTAACATTCTACCAGAGTATGCTGCATATGGACCTGGGAATAAAGCCTCAATGAATTGATGAAGATTCTTGACACCCAGTCCAGATTTCTCTGCAAGAACATGTCCTTCGGAAAGAGTCTCAACCATATTGAAAACAAAGGTATTTCCAATAACCTTCAGAAGCGAAGCTTTTCCAACTGGTTGTCCACCAAAATCAATAGCAGCTCTGCCAATAACTCCCTTAGTATATGGCTTAACCTTCTCTACCGACTCTTTCGGACCAGCAAGTACGCAGATAAGTTGGCCACTTTCCGCCATAGCAGGAGCACCGAAAACAGGGCATGCAACAAAATCACCCCCAGCGGCCCCAATCCTCTTGGCCAAATCTTCCGTGGTGTCTGGGTGAACAGTTGAACAGTCTACGAAAAGTTTTCCAGCAGCGCCATTCTTTATTCCGGCATCGATCGTCTCGTTAATAGCAGCATCATCTCCTACACATGTGAAAATGATATCGGATTTTGAGACAAGATCGGTAATGGAAGAAGAGACCGTGGATTTGCCGGATGGGAGGGAAGAACTGAGATCTTCTGCACGTTTGGTTGTGCGATTGAAGATTATTAGGGGATTATCGAGGTTTCCTTTCTCGACGAGGTTCTTGCACATGCCCTGTGATATCTGTGTCAACTATCGTCTATCTCCTTGAATGAAGTTGCGGGGTAGTTAGTTTTGGGGAACTGACTCTACCCATGTTTCCAAGACCAATCCATGCCAATTGAAGAGCCATCTTGGATGAGTTTTGTGTGGTTCGAGAGATACGAGATTATACGAAGTAAAATACGATAATGTGTAAATGATGAAGTATGAAATTGCTCTCTCAATTGGGATTTGGGACGTCTTTCATGAGCATTTATAAAGATACGTACCAAACCATTCGGTCCCGATATTGGATGCATGATTAGGTACATACTAGGTAGATTGTGATACTACTATATCGGAGTTACAATTATCACCTAGGTCGGAATGAAGCCGTTTGGTCCCACTGTTGACAAAGCAAAGGAAGACTTTTGGGATAAACGCCGATTTCACTCGCTCATTGTAACCGGATACCAGTTCTTCAGTCCTTCATACTTGTTTTGTTGGAAGAACAGCGCCTCCTTTCACCTTTTGCGATGTGGTTGTTAGTAGAGTATTGTAAAGGAACAAACAAGTGCGATATATATAATTCCGAGAAAAATGAATACTTTCCATAAGTAAAAACCAAGATATTTGCAGTATCGGTATCTCAGGTACACTTGCAAATGACGCTCCGCTGACTCTGCGACGGTCACTGCCGTGGAGCCAAACTATTTTAGACTACCATGCAAACGCATATTAGCATGTCGCGTTCGATCTGCTGCAGCATTCATTACCTAGGATGCAGTTTGAACATGCTTTTTCCCCTGGAGCGAAGCGAAAGAGCCTCCACGGCAGTGGCCCAACGCAGCGTCACATGCAGGTAGAATCTTGAAATTGTTCTACCCAGAAAAGTTGACTGGGCATTTCAAAATTATATGTATATCTACCAGTATTATCTCTTCAAAGAGGAACCATCATACAAAACCAAGTATCTGATGCCAAGTACCTAGGTATTATTTGCACACCCTGTCTCGGCTGTACAGCCTTATGATTTGATTTCATCAGATAAGATCTTGTTTTTATGACGCCAGCTCGAAATGAGCCAACAAATTCGTAGTTCTACTAATAATGCTTTTTCATTTTTACACTTTCACGTGTGAGCTTCCTATCCCCGTTCGCGTTTATCGAAAAGCGTTATCGGATGACTGGTGTGGAGATATGAATCGACTTTCGCACAAGCACATATTATCTATTACTTCATATAATGAAAATGCCTCTCTTTCTTTGTTATTATTCTCAACAATTTATCTTCAACTTGAAAGATTGTGATTCCAATATTCTCCCTTTTGGATTGCTTTCAAATGATTTCTTCTGAATAATTCAAATCAATATGCAATATGTTATTGCAAAATTTAGCCTTGAGAAAGGGCAAAGAAGCGGCTGGTCATAACGTGAGTCAAATGGTTATCTCCATGGTGAGACATTTACTAACATTCTACAAAGATTCAATCATTGACAAAACATGGGAATTATTTGGTTCAAAGTAGTGATAGAAGACGCACATATACTTCCAATCAATCTGCGGCTAGTAAAGTCAGGGAAGAATTGGCCAAAGAAACTTGCGAAAAGCTTTCGAATCAACATCAAGCCAAGAAGAAGGCTAAAGCTATTGATAGAGTGGGATATATTCCATTGAACCATTCGATTGAAATACTTACAAACTTTAGGACTTCTTTCTATCGGTCCTTGGTTCTTCCGCAACTAAACGCGAAGCTCGCTCTTACATTCAAAACTTCAAACCTCTAAATACTTCTCCTGCAAAGCCGAAATCCCAAGAGCCTGTCCAACAAATCACAAATGAGAATGGCGTGAACTTGGGAAGCATTTATACAGCAACAAGGGCCGTGGCAGAAAGTCCAAAGTTTGTACAACATCCAGCAGTCTCACAAACTACGTTGGGCGGCTCCATATTACATGTTGCTTTAGTGAAAATTAGAGCTCCACAGCTGCTAGATGACGAAACATTGAATGGGATTGGGAAAACTTTATCAAAACTGTGTAGACTTGGACTAGTCAGTACTGTTGTGGTGGATTGCGAGGATGGATCCGATACCCACCTGAAGGTATCTAAAAGCGAATGGAGGAATCGGGTTAAAGAGCAAGCCGCTCGTGTTGTGACTGCCATTGATTCTAGTGAGACAGAAGCACGGCTAGTGGACAATGTGATAGGAATTGCAGAAAATGGACCTGATGTCGAGCAACAACCATATCTGAAAGGCAGGGTGCATGTCAAATTTAGGGAGTTATTAATGACGCCATTGAGACGAGGAGTACTCCCGGTGCTACCTTCAATAGGGCATACGGATGCCACTCAGGCGGCAGTATCAATCACCGCTAGTGATGTTGCCTTGGCGTTGACCCGAGAATTTGCTGGAATCTTACCTCCGCAATCACCAGATGAACATCCTGATGTTGCCAAAGAGCGCTTACAAGCCTTACAAAATGAGGTATCGCTTGATCGTCTAATTTTGATCGATCCTCTTGGCGGTATTCCAGCTTCGGATCGTAAAAACGGTTACCACGTTTTTCTGAATATGGAACAAGAATATGAGCTAGCGAAGCAAGATCTCATGAAAACAGGAGGATTGTATAGCGAAACGTCCAAGCAACCAACACGTGAAGAAGCGGGCTCGAATCCTAATGTTGGAGATGGTACCCCTCTTTCAAGCTTTACCGAACAAGAATCTGACGAGCTTAGAAATTCATCCTCGCAGCACAGCGGTTCACCTACACAGCAAGATCAAAGGATGAAATTTCATTTGGATAATTTGGAATTAGTTCGAAGTGCTTTGGCCATATTACCTCCTAGTTCTTCAGCTTTGATAACTACACCTGATGAAGCCGCGAATTCTGGAAAACAGCACGAATTTAAGGCCGCTGGGGTCGGTACACGACGACAACGAAATCCATTGATTCACAACCTACTTACCGACAAGCCAGCATACTCTTCATCCCTTCCTGTTGGAAGACTAGGCCCAATGGATAAGAACGAACCAATTACACCATCAACTAAATTGGCCCCAGCTACTTTTGCAAAACATGGAATGCCAGTGACTATTTTCCCAGATCCAAGAACCACCCCTTGGCAACCACCTATCGCTGGCGTTCCACAGATAAGCTTAACTGATCCTCAAATTGACCTAAGCCGCCTAGTACATTTGATCGAGGACTCTTTCAATAAGAAACTGGATGTTCAGGATTATTTAAGACGTGTCAATAATCGTATAGCTGGAGTCATTATTGCAGGCGAATACGAAGGAGGAGCATTACTGACCTGGGAACTACCACCCGGTGTTCCAGACGATGGAAGTGAAGAAAGTCGTAAGCGAATGGTGCCATATCTTGACAAGTTTGCCGTCTTAAAGAGAAGTCAAGGATCGGGCGGTGTTGCAGATGTGGTTTTCAAATCTATGGTGAGAGATTGTTTTCCTGGGGGAGTTTGTTGGAGGAGTCGTAAGGTAAGAAATATCTTGAATCCGTGGTCTTGATTTCGTGCTTGGTATTAATGAGACGACAGGATAATCCAGTAAACAAATGGTACTTTGAACGCAGTAGAGCTACGTTAAAATTGGCTGATACGAATTGGACGATGTTCTTCACAACGCCGGAAGAAAACATGGATCAGCAAACATTCCAAGACTATGAAGCTGTTTGCAAGGTCATTGAACCTTCTTGGGCGGATAAGCAGGGAGTTCAGGATTGAACTTTCTACATAAGTGTTGAAGGAATGGATAGTGTGGAGCTTGATATACTCATGAGGTGCCTATGAACCAGACTTAGATGCGTCTCGCAATCGCCAAAACATAATGCATCCCTTGGAAGCGGACTCTAGTTTCGGCAGAATGCTTGATACACTACATCATTCCAACATAGATGGTAAGAGTGATTTTGAATATCGAAGTAAAGATCGCTATGTGATCGGCGTCACACTTATCAAACATATAATTTAGGATTCTTGGACGTTGGGTGCCCCGAATGATTTTGGACTACCTGAGGCTGGTGAAGCGAGATGGGAGTTTGTTGAGGGGTGAGTCGGACGTTGGTGGATGTTGTCAAAGCGGGAAGTGATATACACAAGCTTGTGGATCCATGTAGTTACACTTGAAGATACCCTCGATCGAATATTGACTACCAGTAATATATACTTCGCTAATGAGGTTAAATCTTGCTATGAAGGTTTTCATAGTAGATAACGGATTTCTTTGAATACTAAAAAGCAATGTGATATGACACCCAGTAAACAGAACCCAGGTGCAATATGAATAGAACTGGTTATCGTGAATGATTATTCCAAATTTACTATGTCAAGAGTTCGTTTCAATATGAAACAAAACATTTCAGATAATACCCGTACCCAGTTCCCATTCTCGAGCCATTCCACTGTTATCAGTTCTCACGTGAAGATTAATTTAGGCGAAACCTTTGGAAATCAAGCTGTCACTTCCATGTGCAGTCGCAACGTCAATCTTTACTGCCTCATAATTAAACAAAACCTACCAGGTATTCAATAATCCAAAGAACAAGAGCGCATATTCGATCACAATAAACATACATACAATACAGTAAATGAACATGGATTTCTCCAAGTTCCAAGCCTTTGGCAAGAATGTCTCGTCAGTATTAAGTTCTTTCCTCCCTTTCTTCCAGATATATGTCATTGTGGTTTATTTACACCGAAGCTAATCTAATACCTCAATCAATAGAGCTTCATTCACACCCTTCGCAGCTCGAACCCAACAATATGTCAAAGAGAGATTGGGCCAATCTGATGATAAGGTGATTCGATTTAATCATGCGCTGTGGAGGGAAAGGAAGAAAATCGTGAATTAATACTAAATGTTATGTTATGATAGACACAACTCCCTCCCGATTATATTGAGTTGGAGAAAAGGGTCGATGCGTTGAAGAAGGTGCATCAGAAGATGCTGTCTGTTACTTCGAATTTCTCTCATGAGGGCTATGATTACCCACAAAATTTGTCGGAATCGGTAGGTTCTTTTCTATTTACACATTCAATATACAATTCAAGAATAGCAAATGACGCTCCGCTGGCTCTCCCGGGTCCGCTGCCGCGGGGGCTGATTATTTGGGGGCAATGTTCGAGCGCAGCGAGTTACGGGGAATGGGGAGCTTATACCCATGATGATGATATCATCAGTCTTTTCTCAAAACTACTGGTTACAATACATTTGCTAATCTATTGTTTTACCAATAGTTCAACGACCTCGGCCGCACTGTTTCCGAAAAAGTCCAACTCCTCTCCTCTGCTACCTCCCCAGCCGAAGCTCAAGCTGCTCTTACAGCCCCTCCATCCGCAAAACCACAACCTAAAACCTTCAATCATGCTATTGCTCGCGCAGCCTTGGCATCTAGCCAAATTCTTCAACAACAGAATTCCTCTGGAAATGAAGATCCTTTAGCTACTGCCCTTGAGAAATATGCTCTTGCAGAAGAACGTGTTGGAGAAGCAAGACTTGCACAAGATAGCCAAATTCAAAGTCGGTTCCTCGCAGGTTGGTCTACAACATTGAACACTAATTTGATGTTTGCGACTCGTGCTAGAAAAAGCGTGGAGAATTCGAGATTATTACTCGATGCCGCAAAGGCCAGGGCTAAGAACCCAGGATGGCATTTGCCTGGTCAAGCAGCTCCTCAACATGATGGTCATGAAGATGAGATTCAGAGTGAGGAGGCTAGAGTTGAGATTGAACAAGCAGAGGATGAATTTGTTGGACAAACTGAAGAAGCTGTTGGTGTTATGAAGAATGTAAGTATTGTTTTTTTTGGCGCATTTCGTGGGGATCAAGCTAATGCGTAAACCTAGGTTCTCGATACCCCTGAACCACTCCGAAACCTTGCTGATCTTATCGCCGCTCAACTCGAATACCATAAGAAGGCATATGAGATTCTTAGTGAACTTGCACCTGTTGTTGACGGTCTTCAAGTTGAACAAGAAGTGAGACGTTCCGAGGCATTTTCCGCCTAAATCCTTTTCTTTCTTTCTTCCTTCCTTCTTTCACTCCTAGAATCCTTGAGGCATGTAGCAGTTATATTGTTAGAATATCACAGTTCAGTTAGCTGATGAAGTGTCTTCTACGCAGGCCAGCTATCGAAAGAGTCGTGATGGTGGAAGTGCTTAATCACCATCTAAAAATATTGATACCAAAACGATACTCAATTCGAGATCAAAGAATGAAGTGATAAGAAAATGGGAAATTTGAGATGTGATGCGACGCAATGCGTTAAGGAATTTTTCTGACTGCTTTTTTTCTTCTGGCGACTGTAGGAAACTCAGGATTCGTTCGCTTCGACTAGGACTGGGAGTGAGGTTGGGTGGTAAAGAGAGCATTCCTTTGGGGAGTATGTAGGCAGCGAACATCGGCTGGGATGGCATGAGTGAAACTGGAGATGGTTTTCTTACATTTGGGGGAGATTTGCGAAAGAGTGCGTGCGTGGTGATAGTACTTGGTAACTGGACAAATGTCTTGTACGAATTGTATTGTTGGCGTGGCTTTGCAAGAGCGCAGGTAGCTTGTTTTCTTCCTTCTTTTGTAGAGGGGTTGAGGATGGTTGGGGGCTGAGATAAATGGACGTGGAAGATAAATAGATTGATACCTAGGTAGGCATCAATTCAAGTACTGATATTGATTTATATTTTTGTGACAGGTCAAGAAATTGAAAGATAAGGGAAATGTTATGCTGTGAAATATATGTAAAGGGGCGGGATGTTCATTTGATAGGCTTAGTTGGCTTGGAACTTACTGTAAACAGTAAGATGAATATGGAAATTATTTGATGGATACATGGCAATGTGTGGCCGACCGGTGGTCTAGTTGTGGGGAATGAGGAGGAGATTTTTCTGGATTATGCTTGCAATATTGGACAGGATTAAAGACATGGTATTCATGATATGATTATGGGTGATGGTGCTTATTATATATGCATGCGTGTTTGGGTTATGGTAATATGAGATAGAAAAGAGGAAACTCATTGATTTGACGGTGGAAAGTTTAAGTCTGTGGAACGGATCGAGAAGAGACAAGTGAAAACTGAAAGGAGGAGGGTTGCATGTATCGTGGTATATATGGTTATGAATGTGAGGCCTGGATAGGGATGGAGATGAATTTTGACTTGCTTTCGTCTAAATCTTAAGCGGCATGTTTCAATGATTGTTCGTTTACTTGTCGACAGTGTTCTGTTTTGGTCATCGAGTTCTTCCATTCGAAGTAGATGGTGTGTATGAACTCTCTTGTCGTCACTCAGTTCCTCGCGTGTGGTGATAATGGAGCGCGTGCAGTCTTTAGAACAGGTCCTTTTCTAGCATCCTAACTTTCTTGATGGTGTTTAGGAAAGTAGAAAATGATACCTGTGAAGAAGAGAGGGGGCGCAGCTTTTTGATACGGTGCCCCCAATTTAGTTTTTGATTCGGGAGGTATGTATAGTTATCTTCAGAGATTTTGAGGGGGGGGGGTGTTCCTTTCGAGGATTTCACAGAGGATGGAGAAGAGATGCTGGAATGGCTTATTATTATATAAGGATTGAAAGCCAATGGCGTCTTGCTCGACGATGAATAAGGCGATGAAGTGTAGGAATTTGTTGCACGTCTGTGAACCGATAATACGAGGTGTATCCCAACAGGACTTTGAGATAGTCTCCTCCTAGTTCTCCGAAGAGGGAAGAAGAGGCATTGATCTACTAGCTTTTACTCGATTTTCTTGGATACTGTCCAATGACAATGTCTCGAATTTTCTGTTACATGTCTGTAAATTGAAATTACGAGGTATACCCCTCCAAGGCTTTGAGGTAGTCTACTAATTCTCTGGTAATGAGAAGATCTGGTACTGATCTACTGGCTTGAACTCCTATCTTCCTGTATGCTGTCCATTGATAGTACTTTGAAATGTATGTTGCACGTCTATAAATCAAAATTACCAGGTATACCCCAATGAGACTTTTGAATAACCTCATCCTGATTCATCTGCTCTGAAAGAACTAGCATTAATTTACTAGCTTTTACCCCAAGATTTATGGGAATCTCCAATCATACTATCTCGAGGTTTATGTTGCACATCTGGATATTCATTTCTACAAGGCAAATCCTGAGGAAGGCTTTGGAATAGCCTCCTCCTATTCCCCTGATAACAGGAGAACTGGCAGTGATCTACTAGCCTGTACTCTGATCTTCCTGGATAATCTCCAATCATACAACTTCAAAATTTATGTTGCACATCTAGATCTTCCAATCTGCAAGGAGATCCTAGCAAGCACAAGAATTAAGAGGGCTTGAGTATGATGTTATCTAGAAGCCAAAACTATATCGATAGCTGATTCAGTAAAGCTTCAAATGATGTGAATGTTGCACATCTACAACCTGAGATTACGAGGATTACCCCAAGAATCCTTCAGGTTGAAGAAATATCCATCGCTAGTTCTTTCCACCCCTCGGCAATTTTCACCATTACAGAATATCCTGAAGACTATTGTAAACCTACTTTGAATACTCACTGTAAAGTCTTGCCGAGGGGCTTAAATGTTAAATGTGAAACAAGCATCTGTGTACAGAGACGCCATGGAATTATAAGGTTATGACGGCATGGTTATACCCAGATGAGTCAATCAGGCATACGAGGGTATACAATGAGGATCAAATATGAGTGATGTTGCACATCTGCATGTCCGTGTATTTGAGGGAGAGTCCGACGAATATAAGACTTAGGGTTCGCTTTACTAATGAAATATTCTAGAATAGAAAGCTACCTGAGTATCAGAAGAGTTGATAAAGCAACGAGATTTTTTATTCTTGTTTGGTAGAAATGTTGCACATCTTATTCTTTCATACACTAGAACCGTAAGAAGTGCCAAAACCCCCCTATCAATCTAGTGACTTGACGCTAGTAATGACGATCATGGCGTCCTTGGTTACAAAATCCTATCTTCACCTAAGTACTCCAAGAAACTGAGTCGGAGGTCCGATATTGGCGGAGCGGAGTGGTGATCAACTTAGTAGTTAAACGCTATTGCATCGCTATATTTAGAGCTGGAGCCTCCTAGACGATTTTTAGGATGTACCTTGCTTGCTTGGATCCAAGAATGTGTACTGAAGCCTCCGATACCATGTCACTCGGAACAAAGTTGATGTTTTATAATCATGGGTGGAAACTTGAGCCTGGTCTCTTTCGTTGTACAAGGTCACTGTAGTGCTGATAGTACCTCAAAGAACACGATATTCATAAATGCTAGATGAGATAACAAGTTTAAGATTAAGAGTTCGTCGAATGTATATCCCCGAGTACTACGATTTGAGTATATATCTCAAAGTACCGTGATTTGGACTTCCGGGTACAAATTGCTTTCTCCAATCCTCATTGTCTACATCACATACCACAATATCCGCTAGGAATAAGGGAAGACTCATCGTATGGATATATTAGTAATAACCAAGCATTGGCAATACCGATAGTCCTCAACGGTCAACTGCACGTCTTTGCGTCCCCACGCTTTCTGGGTAGTTCACGCTAGAGTTTGAAGCAGTCTTAACCTAAGCGCGGAGTGGAATCAAGTATGTCAGTACGCCATCATTGAAGAATGATATGAATATTGAGGCACTGGGACAATCTCATCTATCTTCATGATCCGAGAAAAGAAAGAAATCATGATCTGTTTCTCAAAAATGACGCTCACTTTACCTCATCATCAACATTATCTATTTGATCTTCCAAATTTCGGAATCATTTTATGGTATAAGTGCAAGCCAAGCCAAATCTTTCGCAATCGGAATTCTCGGTTATGCAAGTCATGTGCAAGTCTAGACTCTAAATGATCCACTTTGGAATTAACTAACAGCAACTACCTAGGTATACTAGCCTCACTTGCTTGGGACTGACATCATTGATTGAGAATTGAGCTTTCTTTTATTGAGGCTCTGATTCCTCTTTATGACCCTTAGAACAGTTGAGAGTATTCTTCATGATGATATTCATCCATTGTCTACATCACACTTTCCCCAAGATGAAAGATATATGAGCACTGGAAACCTTATAAAAAGTTCAATCGATTGCCACATGTCCAAAACTGAAGTCATCTAAGACCTATAAAAGATCACCAATCAACGGCGTGTGATTGAAGTGTACTAAACCCAAAGATAAGGTGCTAGATTTAACTTTAACGTAACCGAACTCGAAATAAGCTTTGTGTCTTGCCACTTTTGGCTTGGACTACGCGATCATCATGGGGTAGCGTCAAGTCAGACTGTACTTTTTGATACGACTGAGCAAGTAGCTGACATTTGGGACCTTCAGAATAAACGCTATAAATTCTGGCTGATCTGGCAAACCAGCAGAATGAAGTATAAGAATGTCTTTGGTTCCCCTTCTTGTGTGATTTCTTCTGAATTCTACAAGAAATTCTATGAACAAATTGAACGGTTGTAAATGGTATTCGAGTTCCAATATCTGACTGGAACTTTGCAATAGATCTTGGAAGCACAATTCGGATTGTGAACAGCATCGCAGCTGCCTTTTCGACCAGAATGTATATTCCAGGGAAGCCCGAACATTCAGAGGTGGTCGTGATTCAAAAAACGGTACAGTCAGTCTTTAGAATGATGACTACTATAATTGGACAAACGCCACATCAATTCCTAGACAATAATATTCATACTCGTTCGGAGAAAATCACTTCAGATAGGAAGTCTCAAGATAGCGCTAAAACATGGATACTGGCCATACCGCTCGGTGTGATGGTTGTTGTCTTCCTTATTGTCTCATGTCTGGTCGCTATCAATAAAAGGCTGGAGCAGACAAGAGATCACTATACTCAACGACCCTTATCACGAACATCGACAACAAGATCACGAAAATTACGAAGTGATGTTCGCGTTTTACCCCCAGTTTATTCCCATAGACCGAAACCCACAGGAGAAATGGGCGCTGCAAGAGCTGCTTTGGGTGCTACCATTACTCCAGCTCCCATTATTCCAGCTCCCAGAAGTCCACCAATCGAAGAAGAATGTACAACAGGCAGCCCAAGAAATCAGAGCTACTGCCGACCAACCGGTCAGATTGGGGCAGCAAGGGTGGCACTTGGTGCGAGAGTTGAGCCAGAAGTTCGACAAGCAGGAGCAAATAACGACAGACCCGTCCGATTTCAACAAAGCTATGTTCCCACTGATATTGGCAGTCGAGTCGTCTCACGTCCTGTTGAACAGTCAGATTCTATATACACATTACGGCCTGGCGAAAGTCATGCAGACATGATGCAAAGAGTAGATAGTGAGGTACATCGAGTGGTCTCTAGATATCCTATCTTCGCGAATAACCTACCTAGTCCCCCACCAGCTCGTCTTCGTCGACCCAGTCGACCAGCAGGTCCAATGACAATAGATGAAGAAGTGAGTCGACAAGTAGCCGCATTTCCTATCTTCCAGCAAAACTCTGGAACTCAGCATGCAATGGCTACTGGCAGTAATGAAGAACAATATCGAGAATCTACTACGATCACCACAGCAAGCGCAAATGCAGAAATTGATAACGAGGAATTGAGAAGGGAAGTTGCGGCACTTCCTGTGTTCCAAAACACAGCTGATTACCGCTCGATGCCGACAAGGAGACCAGATCCGGTAACTCCAGGGTTCGTGACCCCACCGCCAGCGTACTCACACGCACCATCATATAGGGGATATGACTCAGACGAGGAAGCGCCAGAAAGTGAGGCAGATGATTCGGTTGATGAGGGAAATCGTGTAACTACTCCTTCTGCTTTACCTCCAGCTTACATCAGAGGAGATTATAGTCATTGAACAAGAAATCTGGAATTTTAGCGTTTGATATATTTTGCGGCAATGAAAACCTATCAGCGCCATTGGGATAGATGGGAGCCATATAATTTGGAGCAATGGGATGGACAAGGGTATTGGGATATACCAAACGCCATTATAGAAATATCAGTAATAATCCTATTCATAATATTTTATGTTCATGTCTCAGATATCAAAAGTGCTATTTGGAGTTTTGAATGTTTGAATGTTTGAATCCCTTGAATCTTTTCAGTCTGTTAATTTTTTCAAGAGATAAAATAAAATTAAAAGATTTAAATATGCAAGATGCTATTTGAGTTTATGTTAGTTATCTTTTTGATACTTGAGTTATTCATATATGGAATATTGTCATGTGAGATTATTACTGTAGAAGTATTGATTGGCGAGCGATATACACTAAAAAAGTATGCCTTTGTTCTGTAGAATAATGATAAAATCTGACTTACACTTCAAACACGTTCCAATAATGCACAGTCTTCATATGTTCGGATGATAGTCATGAACTAACAACTTGCAGCAAGCTGAAAAGCAGTCAAGCTTTGATTATAACTTAATAATCTGAGGAGATTCTGCTTGCTCAATGTACCCCATGCACCAAGGAATATCAGGAAACAACGATCTTTGTCGCACTGCGGTCCAGACTACTGGGAGCCATCAACTCATAAACCATCATGGCATCTCTCTCCAAGCATATTGCATCATTTGTGCTACAGCTAGAGCAGGCGATATTCCCTTCACTAAGGCTAACAGGTAAAGTGTAGCATCAATCCCACAGCTAATACCTCCACTACTAATAACCCTAACTTTCTTGTCTAAACTCAATTGTTCCTTCACATATCTGAAATTTAATGAAGCGGGATTCGGTATGACAGTTGTTGGGTTATAAGACGGCTTTTTCGCAGTATATGCATCGCAGATAATTTTAAGTTTCGGTAGAGTGAGAAAATGCGTCGTAGCGTTCAGACCCGAGAATATAGCCGCAGAGCCAAGAAAGAGTGCCCCGGTACATATCGACATTATTACCCGCCGGCTCTGTAAACGAGGTGATGGACCCAGTCGTGAAAATCCTTTGATGATGTTGAGCATATCTGAGAATGTACTATCTGTATGTGGATAGAGATGAGGAAAGATATCGTCGGGGAGTCCACCGGGTTGGATGAGAATATCATAATTCTCGAGGGTTTCAAAGGCTGTGAGGAAGGAGATGTGACGTTGAAGCTTTGCTCCTTCGGCTGAAGTGATGATATCATGTTGAGCTGCGATTGTAAGTTTGAAAGGATCTGCGCTGAGTGCAACATTTCCTAGCACGTCAAGGGGTCCATGAATATCAAGTGTGTTGAAAGTGTCATATGCGAGGAAAAGCACAGAGACTTGAGATGATTCTGGTGTGCCCTCCATTGAGTTATCTGGTTTGAGAGCCATTGAAACTGGATATAGCAAAGCACCCTTCAGAATGTAAGGATAGATGAAGCGAGGCTTCGACTCTTATGATGATTCAATGTATATGAGCTGAGAGTCGCGTCTGGGTCATACGAGAAATGCCAAAACTTAGACACCGGTGGACGCAAATTTGACTCAGCTTACCTGCTACCTACTTAACCTATGAGTGAGTCTTCTTTTGATGAGCGGTGTGACGGGGTTGCCAAACAAATGGGTTGACATGATCTTGATATATCTCTTGACAGGAGAAGACATACGCGATGTAAACAAGAGAATTGCCAAGGCGCTAAATTACCCCGCGCCTGGTAAGCATTGAGTTTCTGAGCTAATGCGAAATGGTAACGTGCAACAACATATCGTTGCAATGATAGGATGGATGATGCTTCTTTGGCTACAACATTTCATTTTCTTATACGAGCATTGGTTTAAACTATCTCAGCCATATCATGTCTTTTTCAATACTCAGAGAAGAACCTTACGCAGGAGACACAAGCGATGAACGAAATAAGATACATGGAACTCCCAAGGTAAACTGCTCTGTGTATTAAAAACAGGGTCACGGTCTTTTATGCTGACAATTTTCTATGTAGCTCTGTCTTACTATGAGGTGCAGTATGCATAGCATGAGTTGAGACCTGCAGCACAGCAGGGCGCTTTCGTGGGCAACCGAGCAACGGAAGGAATTCCCACAGAGACTTATGACCAATCTAGTGGTCCGGTCTGCACTCTTCAACATTATTGCTCCAAATGTTATAATAGTGGTTCATAATCCAGATAATCATAACTTTAGTTGTTTCTTGAAATACAAAATATAGAACTGTGCTAAGCAGGACATCCGCCCAGTGACAGGATCATGTCGCAGATTGCTTGGCGTTAAACTCGTGCAGGTGAGCATGCACGAATAGTCTCGTGTACTACATGTCGAGATACGAGGGGCATGAGCTTTTCATAAGTCAGCGAAGTGTTCCAGGTTCCCAAAGCTGGCTCTCGCAGTTCGTACGGACATTCGGGTGACGAGACAGTTGGGATAGGGCATTTCGTACGAGTGGTGAAGTGGTATCTTTAGCTGGATCCGAATATTGCATCTTGATCGGATTGGTTGATGCTATTTTTTGTGCAATAGAGAAGTTTATGAGCGGCTTTTGTCTTGGTGTAGAGGCTGGCCAAAATAGAAAAGAGTAGCTAAGACATTTCGTGTTTAATTTCCTGGAGGTGCAATACACAATAGGTTGCTAAAAGAATTAAGATATCGATGGAAAGGGAGAAAGAATTACGAGACCCGCTCTAATGAGGACTCTCATGCTGCGAGCACTTCTCTTTGTCTCTTTTGTTCTTCAAAACGATGCAGATAAGCCAAAGAAGACTATTTTACTTTGCACCTATCATCTACTTCTCTTCTTTGCGTTGCTTCTTCCCCGATCCACTTCCTCTGGTTCGAATGCAAGCATGGGCCAGACTGATCTTCTCCATAATGAAAACATATGATATGTTCCATGTTCCATGTTCCATGTTCCATGTTCCTGGCTACACAACAGTGGGGGGTAGATCCAAGTAGGTAGATCAAGCGCAATGCTGCTATCGCAATTACGCATCCATCATCCAAATTGACCAAAAATCCCGTATCGCGAAAACAGCTGACTTCGTGACTTGTACTGTAACTAGAAATGTTATTCGTTTGCAATTAATTAAGTAAATAATATGCGCCCTTCACCGCGTCTTCACGCCTTGCATTTGACAACTGATGACGTGAGGAGCAATGTAGCAAGATAAGGATATTACACTCTTATCCAATTACTGCGGGGTATAAGTAGCACTTACCTCTCTGATATATTCGGAATATAAACATTTTCCAAATCCAAAGACATATCACAAGTATCCATTATAAAAATAACTTATTTCAGGTAAAGGCTACTCACGTGGCTCCATTAAATTATCAAGATGTCATCAACTTGCACGACGACTTCCACAGCCACCCGCAAAACTTATCATGGTTCCTGCCACTGCGGATTAATTCGCTTCGTGATATTCATGAGCCTTCCACCCCCCGTGATCGAAGCAACCCCTTCTGCAAAAACTACCGTGCGTCTCCGCAAATGCAACTGTACCACCTGTCATAAAATGGGTCTTTTCCATATCCGACTTCCGGATTCTCCGAATGATTTCATGCTTCTAAGTCCCACAGGAATGCCGCATGAACAAGGTGGATGGCAGGATCAGGGAATGAAGAATTACCAATGTTTTGACAAAAAACATGATTGGTGGTTTTGTGGTATTTGTGGTGTGAGACCTTTCGCTACTGGATTGAATTTCCAAAATGGAGAAATGAGGAAGGTAAATTTGAAGGAACTTGGGGTTACCGAGGTTAACGGAGAGGAAGTCGGAGAGGGTGAAAGAGAGGTTTGGATGTGCCCGAAGGAAGGAGAGATGGATGGGAAGCCAACTGAGTGGATAGAAGGGGAGACAGGTTATCTGTCTGTGAATGCCATCGCGTTGGAGGCGGGCCAGGAGGGATGTGATCTGAGGGAATGGCATGAGAAGGGATGGATTAGTTACCTCGATATGTTGGATCTGAAGGAGGAAAACAGACTGGGTAGGCCATGGAGGGGCGGAATGTATTGAGCTAATGGTAACTATGAGATACGACACGAGGAATATTCCATCCACTGTAGGGGAGACAAGGTGAGATAGGTTCACTCTGAAAATTGCGCATGTGCGATGTTTCATGAAATACAATTTATGACTGCTCAACGGAGGGGATATAATCTAGCTAAATACAAAAAGAAAACGCAAAATCACAATTTACTGGGTACCCAATTCGGTTTCCTCTTCTCCACGAAACTCCTCACTCCTTCCTTCATGTTTGGCCCCTTGTCCATTCTACTATACCAATTTTGTTCAATCAATCTAGTACCCTCCTCCGCACCAACACCTTCCCATCCCATCTTAATACCTTCTCTACTCACGATAACACTGTCTGGGCTATTTGCTGCTATCAGCTCCGCCAGTTTGATAGCTTCCTCAACACTCTTGCCAGTTCCTACAACTCTATTGACCAACCCCCATTCCATCGCCTCTTCAGCCCCAAGTGTTCTTCCCGTTAACGCCATTTCCATGGCTCTCTGTTTTCCTACCGTCCGAACTAACCGAGTCAACGCTCCAGCAAGTGCCACGACTCCAATCTTCACCTCCGGTAATGCAAACACAGCATGAGATTCTGCAATCACCATATCCGCATTTATAATCATCTCACAGCCACCCCCAAAACATATCCCGTTCACAGCACATATGATAGGTTTCTTTCCGCCTCTCCGACTTAAACCTCCGAAACCAGATGTTGGTAATGAACGAGCTTGACTTGAGGCAGAAGTGGACAACGAATTATTGGAATCCCACTCTTTGAGATCTGCGCCTGCACAGAAACTCCTCCCAACACCCGTTAAGATGGCACATCGAAGGCCGGGCTCAGCGTCGAACCATCTGAAAACCCGATCGAGTTCGTTGTGGGTAAAGGTATCGAGGCAGTTGAGCGATGAAGGTCGGTTGATGGTTATGAGGAGAGTGGAAGCTGTTGGAAAGGATAGCAATGTGTTTTTGAGGGGCGTACCGGTGGACATATTGTGGGATTTTCGATGGCGGGGTATAGTTGAGGGATGTGCAGAGTAGAAACTGGAGATAAGATCAAGAGAGCAAAAGGGAAAATTGTGCAATGATTATCATACAGAATTTAATTTACATACCTAGTGCTTAGATCTGCTGTAGCTGAAAATGCGTTGTCAATGATGGTGTCTCCATATTTTGTGGAGAAGATGCCGAAACCTCGGCAAACTTGTCACAAGCCCGCAGGGGCATATATCATAGCCTAAACACTTGAATAGTTACACTGTACCCGTAGTGTGAACTATTTTCATGGATTGAATATCATTTACCTATACAATCTCCTACATTACAATAAGAACAGTTGTATTGTTCAGCCTCCAGGAGAGCTTCATGTCCAGTAAGCAAGAGAAGTGACAGCTTCAGTATCCTCTAAACCAGGCCATAATTCACCAGGCATTCTCATCAACACAGTCAAACAAGCCGATCTCAATATAGAGTGCTGAGCATACAATATTACAGTAGTCCCAGCTCTTGAAAAGCCCTTGCTGATTTCCTTGGTCATTCTTCAACAATGTTTCCAAGTTGGCACCAAGATGGTGACCCCGCTTCTGACAAGAATGATCTCAATCGGGTTCTATCTGAATGGTTTCTGATATCAATCTGCTTCCTGTAAAATTGCATCATCTCATCACAATACCTAACGAAACCGTGAGTCACATTGACGAGATGAGATGCATTCTGTTTGTCTTCAAAAGTCTCGCCGTTCGTGGCTTCAATGATGGATCTTGATGAAAGGTACAGGAGTGGAAACAGACTTTCACATGCTGGTATAGGTTTCATGATAGAGTCCTCCATTTTTCGAGGAGAAAGGCCACCTGCTTCAATCCAGGCAACAAACGTGATGAGCAACCATTTTTCTCCAGAAAAGAATGCCGTTTCTGCTCTAGATTTCTTGGGCGGATATGTATGAGAATTGATTCTGCTTTCACCTGTTCAAGATGAATCTTGACAATCATTTCAGCAAAGTGTGCTGGTCACCTTCTCACACATGTTGGTAGAATTGATCTGTACACATCCGCATCTGTTAAGGCCATAAATCCCGCTGCTCTTCCGATTGCATCGATGTGACTGTTAATTTGCCAGCCATATGACCTCAAGTCAGGCAGTCTTGCGTTTCTTGAGATTTCAAAACGCAGGCAACTCCTGCCCAGACCCCTATTATTAAATTTGCCGAAGACGGCGTTGGCTCATACACCTTTCTCCTGCCCTACTGCAGCAGTATGTGCTGCTCTGCATACACTCAAGTTTGATACAGAAACTTGAACGGTTAGTGTATAATGCACCAGTCCCCCAAGGATTGGACGTTTTGAGCGTGTCAAGGCAACTAAAGCTTCAGAAATGTTGAGTTCTTCCGTTGCCGGAGAACAGTGAGTGCAACGAGAGCAGAAGCGCCCACCTTGTTAGCCTAGTGTTAACGGGATAGCTTCTTGAGGCGATGCATCATGGTTTTGAGCATCGAAACCTGATATGCAACTGGGAGCAAAGTATGGACACAGCCGATCCAACTACTGAGACATAAGTCATGCAAGCTACTTGAGTTCGTGTAACCATGAAATCTTTTACACTCGCTCCTCTAAAAGCACGTAGAGAAACTGCATGAATGCCGAGTAGCATTGCATTGTTACACCTAGGCATCTGTTAGTTCCAAACATTACTACGCCAAAATATCGGTGGATCGGATTCAGTCCAATAGTTTAAGTGCTGCCGATATCTAGTTCATCCATCGAAGTATGTATAGTCTAGAGAATCCAGCGAATAGTACTCGGGAAGCTCGGCAAAAGAGACTGCTGCGAAAATTGGAAGAATTCATGTGTAAATCCCGTTAAGCTTAGACTCTTGTGAGTGGCTGCCGAAAAGCTAAAGTTGAGAACTCGAATATCTGAACAGAATTGCCACAACATTGTTCTCACCTCAATCGGCCCTTGTTCAACTTTGTGGATAATTCCGGCTTCCAGATATACTGTTCTTTGCTTTCTATCGTTGAATCTACGCCATCAAACGGTAGTTACCCATTGCCTAGACTGTACCACTCCAAGTAGGTATTTATAAAAATCCGGCTCGCAGCCAGTCATTCGGCAGCTTTCAGTCTATGACGAAAATATAATCCGATATGCATTTAGTCTATTGGATGAGTTGTGTGTTGCAATTTGAATCGAGAGTTGAAGCTTTCTGAATTCTAAAACGCAGCCCGAGGCATTGCGAGCCGCGCTGCATCCTTTGAAGCAACGAAAAGCAATTACGTCCAAGATTCGGATGGTATTTACTTCTTGTAGTTACACCTAGATATCACCCAAGTTGAGACCATGACATTGCAATTTTAGGCAACTGTGTATCTATGTTGAGGGCCTACTTCCATCCACAATATGAGTGCGCTTAATAATAAGCCAAATTCCAAGATGTTTAATCCAACTACTGAGCGTACAAATACTATGTTAACGTAACTTGACTAGAAATGAGTCATGTCATGATATGGGCCAACATCCCCCCCCTCGTTTCTCTAGTTTCCGGGTTTATTCAACACGCAAAGAATCAGAAGTCATCAAATCTTCGTGAATCTGAAGATAACAGTTCAAAGACTACAGGAATATCAAACGTAAACAATTTACTTCGATTTGAAGTGCTGTCTTTCATTATGAAATTCCGAAGTGAACTCTAATAAATCGAAACGCTGAATAATAATCATACTCTCAATCTCACGAATCCTTTCAAAAGCTTTCCAATGCAGAAGAGAAAACTCTTACGGTTCTTGATTCAACATTTCATGATCATTCCATATTTCATGTGAGCCCAGAAACTTTCCAAGGAAATCTCGCGTACAGTGTATGAGTCTAGAAATCAGAAAAGGGGGCAGAATTCGTAAACGACTATGGTATATTGACCTTGCTCCGTATATGCCAAGCAATTGCACCACTAAGCACTTCTCTGTGTGAGCGATATATATATCCAGTTCTCAACACCATATCCAAGAGAATAAACAAGTATATGCTATGAGACGACTTTCATATACATCATTAAAATCTAGTGAGCCTGGGCACAAGCGGTCGGCTGTGTATCGTATTCATGGATGGTTTGTAATCTCATATATATTCTTACATTTTTCCCTAAAACTAATTTAAACTCTATCCTCCACTCATAAATACTACCAAGCGCGATAATATTCGACGAAGATTAGTCAGTATTGAATAGGACTATCTCGAACAATAAGTTGGGATTATAAAAAGAGAATATTCTGCCCGACTTTTCTATTTGGAGGGGCTGTATTAAAGAATCGAGATTAAAAATTAGGAGTCTCTCTCTATATATGGCAAGTTTGACAACCTGAATTTTAGGAGACCACACACTCTGTATTTGAGGTCGGCGTGGTGAGAGGGTGGGAATGGTTATTCATCACTTTTGAAGATACGTATATACTTACTTTCCCAAATGATGAGGATGAAGGAGGATGAAGAGGAAGATATTTGATGAGTAAATGGGTCAAGTAAGTATTTGAAAAATTCAAAATTCAAAATACAAGGAAAGAAAGGTCAAGTCTACTAGTTTGTACAGACACCGGCTGAACTAGCCTCGCGAGCATGAGAAGTGAAGGGAGAGTGATATACATGAAATTGGATACTGAGGCTAGAGTCACATATGATAACTGAGCGAAGTCATCTCGACAGAGATGAGGAGAACTAAGATCTTCCTAAGATATACAACTAAAACCTACCGAGCAAGAAAACAAGCGTAGATTTGCGGGAACAGGCCCGTCATTCAGATTACTATTTGAGGGACCTGCACAGAAATAATCGAGGAGAGCTTCTACTGATGGATGAGATAAAAATAGGATCAAGTCTTTTGCCAATATGCAATTAGTACTTTCTTCCAAACAAAACGGCTGGTAATGAATAATAAGACATCTTGAAATGAGAGGCATAATAAAAACCAACAATCTAGACATCGACTATCACAAACATGATCATCCCGTGATTTATCCCCATTCGCTTCCTCGATTCTTTCCCTATCGCAAGAACTTCAAAGGGCCTCCATAGTACCTAGTAGCATGAAAGACAGAAAAGCATCATTGGTGAGCTCATGACGGCATTGCGTAGAAAGCAAAGGGGAGTCTGGAAGAGCTAAAAACCAAGCAGGAGTTAAATAATACACAATATATATACGAAATTTTCTTAAATCCATCCCATCATGAAGAAACACATGACTCCGAATCCAAGCAAGCCTGCCCCCCTCGTATGTATCTACACGCCAAGACGAACGAATCGTGTCTCGGTCCCGATAATACATACCAGGATAGAATCCAATATCACATGTCACATGTCAAATCTCACATAGACCCAACACAACATCCATCCCAAATCAGTCAGCCGAGCAACCCCTGTCCAATTCCCCCTTCTCGCTCACACCATCTTGGGATCTTCGATATCTAGATCAATATCAATTCCTCCCCCCTCTCGGACAAGCCGCACCGCAAACCGCGCTCGCATAATAATCTCCTTCCCTATTGAATTCAATTGAGCTGCATACAAATTTCTCTTTACCAAACTTCTCGCACACCACATCTATTTAAATGAAGATAAGATCTTCAATGGATATGATAAATCAATACTGAGCACTGGTGCTGCATCCGGAGTACGCGAAGGTGCCATCCGCAATAAATGGAAGGAAAGACGTATTCCGCGACACGGTTTTCCTGTTGATTCTTGATTACTCTATCTATTTCATGTGTATACGAGACTTTTCCGAACTTCGATACGCTTCACGGAGTACCCGCAATCCAATTCACGAACCGAGCTCCTGAGATGGTGTGCTGCAAGGAAAACTTCGATGCGGTTCATCACTAAATTATGCAAGAGCGTTAGAGATCTAGATTTTGTGGTTCTTCACTCCGTAGACAAATGTGGGAAGATCATGATTGTAAATGCTAGATATCGGACCAGTCCTCCTTTTTATTAGTAGCCACAAATATTAAGATTTCATGCATGTTCGGATGCCGATGTCACCCTTCAGTCGCAATTCATGAAGAAAACAGGTACCCGACCGGATAAAAGCCTTTTGATCATTATCCGCACTATTTGATACAATTGGAAATACATGAAGTCGCCGCAACATCCGAGTGTACACGTGTCTATGAAGAAAATTTACCATCTTCATTCTTCAAGTATTGACGCACGCTTTGAATGAAATCGACAAAACTCGTTAGAGGAAAAGAGAAAATTATAAGATTAAAAACTAAAGACTAGAGTTCAAAAATGCAAAACTGCAGATATGACGTCATAAGATATACATCCGTAAAGAATTTCCGTAACGTCCCCCAATGCCCTTACTATCCTGTGCCTTCAGCCAAATTCCTACTAGAGTGTCGTCATGATTCGTAAATTTTCACATTTCTTCCATGGAAATTATGTACTTGTAATTGCCCCTTTAACTCTACTCGTCCAGTTTCTCCTCAAAATTACTTTTCCTCCTCGCTTCAGGCGCTGGCACATTCTGTGCAGCATTGCCTCCAACACTATCTGGACCAAAGTAATGCTGCCTCCCTTGTCCCACCCCCTGCGGTGGCGTTAATGGACTGACCACTCCGGGTCTCTCAACCTCTTGTTCAACCCCACGCTCCTCATGCGGTCTCTCAATCTGTATCTCAGGCGTTGGTAGATTCCCATAGTCTCCATCTACACTTACACTCGCATCACTAATTTGTCTTAAGTGAGTTCTTTCACTTTCAGTAACACTACTCAAATCACTATGAATTCTCTCCCTCGTGGTACCTCCTGCCTGTTCGTTGAGCGTCACACTATCCGCGCGAGCAGGAGAAATGGGAGAGGATCTTGGACCCGAGCTTCGAGAGACGGTGCTAGCATGCGAGTGATTGGAACCTGCGGATGGAGAGTGCGTGATGGGAGTTTGGTTACGGGAAATGTTGTTCCAAACATTAGACTTAGGGGATAGGGGCACAAAGCCTGTGTTGTGGAGTTCCGAGGGCTGAGATGTATCTACAAGGTAAGATTGGTCAATTTTTAATCTAAAAATCAAGGGCTGAGGGGTTACATACCCATCATTTCGTGAAATTGTGTATCACCTGGCATTTCGGCGGCGAATACGCGTGTGTGATCAGTGTCAGCTTCCGAAGATACCGCATTGAGTTCCGTTTCATCAGTTGTGACGGTAGGAGCCTTTACATCTCTAGGAGTAGAATAAAGCCATCGGAGAGTACGTCGGCGATTTTCATACAAAGTTCCAGCTTCACTTTGGCGATCCGCTCGCGAGAGGCCAAAAATCTTGCGACGACGATAGATGATAAAGCCTAAAATAAGAAGGGTGATGAAGAAGAGACCCAACACGACACCTAAAACAGGTCCAAGGTACGAAGGTGTTCCAGATTTGGTAACGATGGGTGTAGGAAGAGTTGTTCGGTTATTTGGAGGGGTTGATGAAGCTGGGGTATACGGATACCAGTTTGTGATTTTGGTTGTATTGTAGGCAGTTCCCAAGAGCTCTGTCATACTTGGATTTGTGAAACCTCCAGACGGTTTAGTTTGTGAAGCGCTACCCGTCCCAGAACCTCCAATCACAGATACGACTTGACTGGGTACAGTGTAATTACTCCAGACCAAAGGGTCATAAGAGTCCAGCCATTGCGGGTCACTGAGATTGAATATTTGAATCATACCACCTTCAAGGCATCGTGGAATCTCAGTAGTGAGAGCGGCATATCCACCCAAAACCATCATTTGATCAGGGTATGGTTTGACACACTTATGTCCAGCCCGACCATGAGTATCGCTTCCGGTGTAAACTTTCGTCCAGATGAATGAAGGAATCGAAAGAACATAAACATCATCCGAGAAAGCTTGCGTGGGGTGAATACCATCATAGCCTCCATACCAATAGATATTATGGCTTGAACCATCTTCAGCTGATGCAACTACCGTACATCCTTGGGTCAACGCCCCTGGAGAGTTTCCTGATGTTTCTTGTTCGTACCAAACTTTTTCAGCGATGTTGTAAATGGAAACAGTTGTCATGAAGCCGGGACTTATTTGATTCTGTTGATAATCAATAAACATGTTATATAATGGCAAAGCGTCAACTTACGCTTTGTTCGTTGGTAGATGCATTGTTGGCCTGGGCAATGCTAGAATAAAATGGATCGATAACTCCACCAACTGCGACCAATATTCCCTTATCCGAAACGGGAATCCAGGCAATTTCAGGATTCGCACGGCCTGGAACAGTCGACGGAAAAGAGTCATTAGACCACTTGGGTGCGGTTTGACTCGCCATATCAATGCTAATCAAAGTTTGAGATGTCACATTTGCTAAATAAGACGTATTTCTCGGGCCTGGCTGTTTATAAATAGGTCCAAAGCTTGCGGCTCTGTATCCAGAAAAATAGAATCCTAGATTTTCGGATGGAATGCTAACGGCTCCTCCGTACGTCACATATCTTGTCAAGCCTGCTGGTAGGTCGACTTGTTCAAAGCCTGGGTTGAACTGTTTACCAGGTGTACCATCCGAGTAGACTTCGTATGATATGGCAGAGTCTGCATCTGGAGTTGAAAAGGCATTCGTGAGAGACAAAAGCCCGCCATAAGTGTACCATTCGTCGTCGTTTGCAAACATTGCCCCATCAACATAGTTTGGTCCGAGATTACTGGCGGATCCTCCATTCGGAGCCTTGGAAATGGTTGTAAATATAGAAGAGATATTGTCTGATGTGTGAAAAGGAGTGCTAAAGTTGAGAAGATATACGAGTCCTAGTGGATTCCCTTGAAGAGAGTAAGTACTGTCTAAATATTTCAGCACTTGAACTTACCATCGATGACGGGAGGATCATATGTTCCATCGCTCATACCAGGCTCCCAGTACAACTCTCCTCCGTCAATATAGAAGGTGTCTCGTACCACCGCAGCTAGTATCGTCAATTGCTGTTGCAGTGAAAGAACATTAAACGTCTAAACGTCATGTTCGCAGAAACGTACCTCGGGGCGATGTCCAGTAACACAATGTCGTATTTACCTGACCTTCAAGCCATCCCGCTTCTTGTCCCAAGCATAATGGGACGAAAGCGCCAATCCAATAGATGAAACTCAACCGAATCATTATGAATAACAATTATGAAGGTTGGAAAACCTTTTTTGCGTGGTGCCCTCTGGATTGAAGATTGAAGAGGCCCGGCGCATCGCAAAACAACTTGTATCGTGGATGTACCTACACAAAAACCTTTTTCTTCCCTTTACCAATAAAGATCAATAGAGATTGTCGCCACTTCCGCCACCAAAACCAGCGATGCCTTGACTTTAATGCCTGATGTTCATCGAGACCGAGCAAGAATTCGGTATTCAAAGATGACAATTCTTCTGACTGTATCAATCAATGCACACGCACGGAAAGGAAAAAATGCGACCCTACCATCGGTTCAATGACCTCTCTTGAATCTGCCCGCTCTGGGTGGATTAATGGAGATCGACTGAGGATTGGTGGGGAGAATGCTTGAACTTGCATGCTGCAACAGCAGGGTAACTCAACAGACGGTTTGACAAGGTATGAAATATTGATACGGATTAGGACTTAGCCTTCAACATTCCCTGCAATCCATCAGCCTTGTGTGGGTGGAAAATAATTCAGCTGATGCCAACGCAAACTCATCCGATCTCCATCGTATACAACGAAAAGTGGTTTCAAGAAAACATAAATATAAGTTCCATGTCTTCACTACCAACACGAACGGGCGTCGAAAGTGGCAGATAAATATCAGAAACCAGCAGATTGATGGTTTACTAATTTAGTTTCATAAGAAACTACAATCTTGGTGTCTCACGGGTAGTTGCTGGATCATAAAAGTCAAGAAAAGCCGCGAGCATACATCGGCATTCTGCACATGTGCACCGATGCGAGGTACTCTGTAGGAAGCACGATGGCGACAATCACATGGTTCGGCAGAAGATTCCTTCTCAAGTTAGGATTGCGAAAGTAGGAAGGAAGTAAACGGGTCAATGTTGGTGTTGGTCGTTGCTTACGGGGTTGAAACTTGAATGAATCTTTCACTGGTATCCTCTTTTTGCCTGATGTGGGCTACCTAGCTCGATAAGAAATTTAGTCTGATAAGACAATGCGTTAACCCCAATTGGGTAATTAGCTTGTGGGACGGCAATCCACCCTGATTTCGAAACATTTCATCTGCTCAGTTAACAGCAGGTAAATCTCGTACAGGTCGGTTGACTCGACGAAAATTTCCATCTGAATTCAATACACATCTCTAGATTTCACCTATTGGACCAAAGCCTTGTTAATGACGCTAGCCCTGAGTTCTAATTACTTCACTACGCGTTGTAATAACCGAGCTAGCATTCATATCAAAGGGCCCGTACATCGATTGAGCGAGATATACGTCTAGGATATCTTTTTGGAATTCTACCAAGTTCTAGATTTATCTCTTGACATTCATGCCCAAGCCCTTTTTAAGCCAATTGGCCATTCCCATACAAGCCTCTACAACTTCTTCCTATATAATTCTCCGCCACATGCTCTTAGCTTAGCAGCCGCTTGCTCTGGGGTGATATCTCTTTGTGGTTCGGCCATCAATTCATATCCAACCAAGAACTTTCTCACAGTTGCACTTCTAAGAAGAGGAGGATAGAAATGCATATGCAAGTATGAAGCATTAATCTCCTCCTCAGTGCCTTCCAAGGGAGCTTGGTGAATGCCGGAGCCTATGTCGGTTAGCCAAAACTTTCCGCTCCACAATATAAGAAAGAGTGAGAGGGGTATATGCAGATACTCAAAAGAAACAATAAAAATGAATGCACTATGAGAGTTGAGGGTACTTACTGTAAGGAAAGCTAGTCTCGAACAAATTATCATATCTTCTCGTGACTTCCGCAACAGCCTCTGCAAATCCCAATTTCTCTGCATCGTTCAAATCAACCAGACCTCTTTTATGTGTCTTGCTAATGATCATAACCTCAAATGGCCAGGTTGCCCACCATGGACACACTACGAGGAAGCTCTCATTCTGAAATACAATTCTTTCTTCCTTTTCCATCTCAAGCTTGACATAATCTTCCAACAAATGTCGACCAGAATTTTCCTGGCGATATTTGAGAAGATTGACAAGTTCGGAAGCGGGCTCTTCGGGCAATCCGGTTGTAGTCCATATTTGTCCATGAGGATGGGGATTCGAACAACCCATTGCCGCACCTTTATTCTCGAAGATTTGCATCCATTTGTACTGTTGATTTGGGGCTCCAATATTATGGCCCGAGGGTGCAAGGGTAGTAGGTTGAGCTACACTTGCCAGGGGTGAGGAAGGAGACAAATGTGCGGCGTAGATCTCTGTCCATGTTTGTATGACGGGAAGAATCTGAGCAGGAGTGAGGTCTGCGAGTGTGAGGTTGTGCGAAGGAGAAAATGTTAGAACATAGCATTTTCCTGTAACGGGCTCCGCGCGTAGGAGAGTGTTTGAGAGATCTGAATGTTTACGTTATTTGTTAGATGTTGTCTTGGTATATAGAAAGAAGGGTAAATTATCCAAGTCAGGAGATGGAATGACTGAACAATAGGAGGCAAGACGACAAACGGACCTTTTGATTCCCCATCCTGCGCATACTCTGCCTGAACCTCCTTAACCGCACTGTAATCATTCACAAAAACAAAAGTGTCTTTATACTGTGGGTTAGAATCTCCCTGTGCACGTTTATTTCCTGGACACAAGTAACACTATAAGATACATTAGTCTGCGGTATCTGACTAGGGAATATCTTCGGCATACCGCAGCATCATATTCCGGAAGTGTAATCTTCGAAGCCGCTTCTTGCTGTCCTCTTCCATATATGTTAGTATTTATCCGGGGCAAGTTTCCATGTTTCCAGAGGATTCCCAAAACTTACTGCCATGGCCTCTTAGTACGATGAGGGGAGACAAGAAGCCAAGTACCCCGCAATGGGTTAAATCTCCTGTGTGAGATGTCGTCTAGGATCTTTTCTGGCATATTTCTTTTTGGATTTCAAGGTAATGCCAAAATATGTGCAGATTTGAAGTTGCAGGAAGAAGTTTTCGATTGCCTTTCCAATGAAAAAATTCGAAAAGAATAAATACCTACTAGGTAGTAATCTTACCTATGTGGTTCCTTCCAAGATTTTTTCCTATCTCGACCTTCCACTTTTGGTTCCTCGTGATATTACTCCGCAAAATCGAATGAAATGGCGGGGCTTGACTTTGTTCGGTTGTTTATCCGCGAAGTGGGGTAATGAGGATTTCACAGACGAACGGTGCTTAAGCAAGTATTCCACATTTCATCCCTTCATCCTCGAATGATAACGATAGGTAATGCATGTTTGACCAATCATTGCTGCAACGTATGATCCACCAAGACACCATTTGACTCCACTTATTACTGTACCTCGCACCAACCACCTCTTATTTTCTTTCCGTTTCTCGACCTCCCACTCGACCTCCATACGACCTACTCTCGGCTCCTTCATCCATTATCCATTTGCTTTCTCTACCCAGATATCTCTCTACATATGCAAGTATTGTAGAATTGAGGCAACGAAAGGGTAGAAGCGATCACCTGCATATTAGGTCGCATGCAATCGAGGCACCATGATGACGATTGCGAGAGTGAAAAGTGGAAAGATGAACAAGTAAAAAGTGCTGCAGTGAGATTTTACCCAACAGTCTCAAGACCCTCTTCCTATTCATTCATCCAATACCCACTCTGTCACCTGTCAATTTCTTATTCAACCGCTTTGCAGATTCTTTTGACAACAGTTGGTAGGCCACCAAAAATCTTCATGGTTCATTTGATTCAGCCAAACTACCCAGCTACACGGAATAGCCCCCAAAATAGAAATGGCTGCAATGATCTGGCAAGGTTAGAATTCCGGGATCTTACTTTCCAAAAGTAAACAAACATTTTATTAACATGCCATTCTGTAAAAAACTGTTCGGTCCTGCAAAGAAGGTGGCAATCCGTTGTACGGAAGAATTTCCCGAAGGCAAAGGGCATGAACGGCATGGTCTTCTTGCTCCGATATCATGTAGTGATATGCGAAATCCATCCTCGTTATTCTCGTCATCCAAAGGATTGCATTGGATTTATAGATCCGCTTGCCAAGATGCAAATCATTTTCTGTTGGACGATAGTATGCAAGGATCGTATATCGCATGCTAAAATGTTTAGTCAAGGGTAGGTACAACATGCACAGTAAAGTGTGTTGTCCCATTGAGGCTCATGGTGTTTCTTTTTCTTTTCCCGCGTTGCTCTCCCAGAAAATTGCCCTGTCTCGCCTGCTCTAGTGTCAGTAAGACGAAAAATTGATCTGCCATTTCTTTCTCAAATCACCACATAGTCCCTGTGCTAATCCATGTACTACCCTTCGATTTTATTATCTCCTCCCTTGGCCCTGTATCTTTGCCATCTCACGAAGTTGATATTCAAAGTGGATTTGTCAAGGTAACGTGGTGTATTCGTAGGTTCGTAATGTCTAGGGTCCCCTAGCTCTTTTCCATTTTGAGATTTTTCTCTCAGAACAATATCGTCTGGACTTTTCACTCGTTTTACTTGTCTCTCTTGTTGTTCAACTAGTCCTCGTGGGCTTCCTGCACCGCTTCGGAATTCTTTTAAGGTTACCTTGGCAAGTAGATGGCTGTGAAAGTTGTTAATTGACTCTTTTATTGGTCGCAAATCGCCTCAATTGGTATTTTCCGAACCTTCAGCCTTAGAGCTGACGCATCTTGGTCGTATATTATAGTCAGGCACATTAACTAAATACATCTACCTGCAGTCAATCGTTCCTGAACCAAGTAATTGTCGTCTCTTTTTCTCCGCTCGTTGAAAAAGATCTCAGCATTATTGCTGTTATCTACACTATCGTTATTTCACATCGACAGGACGGCATTTCACAATGGTATCCAATTCTCGGATCGGAGTACTGATAGCGGGGTTGATTGGGGTTGTACAAGGACAATATCTGAATACAACCGCGGCGATTGTAGCTCCAATAACAGCAGAGGGACAAGGACATTATTCAACGTGCGAACCAAAGACTGTGACTATCACGTCTCCCGGAGGTGGATATGGGTCATGTCCCACACAAACT